ATTCATCAATGACCTGGAGGAAGGCACAGAGTGCACCCTCAGCAAGGCTGCTGATGATACTAAACTGGGGGGAGTGGCTGACACACCAGAAGACTGTGCTGCCAGTCAGAGGGACCTGGACAGGCTGGAGAGCTGGGCGGAGAGGAACCTCCTGAAGTTCGACAAAGGCAAGTGCAGGGTCCTGCACCTGGGGAGGAATAATCCCATGCACCAGTACAGGCTGGGGACTGACCTGTTGGAAAGTAGCTCTGCCGAGAAGGACCTGGGAGTGCTGGTGGACAACAAGTTAAACATGAGCCAGCAGTGTGCCCTTGTGGCCAAGAAGGCCAATGGGATCCTAGGGTGCATTAGGCAGAGTGTTGCCAGCAGGTCGAGGGAGGTGATCCTGCCCCTCTCCTCAGCCCTGGGGAGGCCTCACCTGGAGGACTGTGTCCAGTTCTGGGCTCCCCAGTCCAAGAGAGACATGGCACTCCTGGAGAGAGTCCAGTGGAGGACTCTAAAGATGATGAGGGGACTGGAGCATCTCTCCTATGAGGAAAGACTGCGAGAGCTGGGCCTGTTGAGCCTGGAGAAGAGAAGATTGAGAGGCGATCTCATAGACATGTATAAGTATGTGAAGGGGGTGTGTCAAGAGGATGAGGCCAGTCTCTTCTCCGTGGTGCCCAGCGACAGGACAAGAGGCAATGGGCAGAAACTGAACCACAGGAAGTTCCATCTGAACCTGAGGAAAAACTTCTTCACTGTGAGGGTGACAGAGCATTGGAACAGGTTGCCTGGAGAGGTGGTGGAGTCTCCTTCGCTGGAGATATTCAAAAGCCGTCTGGATGTGATCCTGGGCAATATGCTCTAGAGGTCCCTGCTTGAGCAGGGAGGTTGGACTAGATGATCTCCAGAGGTCCCTTCCAACCTCAACCAGTCTGTGATTCTGTGATTCTGTGAAAGACAGCTAAGTAACCTGTCCTCTAAGATTAGATTTCTAACGTTGGGAATCAAATTGGTATCCATTTTATCACCTGAGGAAAGCCAAAACTAAATTCACTGACCTCTATGAAAGGGTGAACAAAGGCTATTATTGTACCGTTAAAGACAACAGTTATTTACGTATGGAATCCGTTACAATCTTTACTTTGATTGCTAAACAAAAATACTAATATTCACAGAGTGTTAAGTGGCTTAATTATCTCCAGGTTAGCAGGGTTTACTGTTTTGAGACTGTTTGGTTAAATTCCCAAAGCATGGAATAGGCTTTCTCAAAGGGTCAGTAAATGTTTGCATAATTTTTTACAGAAACCTTAGGAGATAAAAGGGACTATGGAAGACCTTATGATGTCTCTCCACCCAATGCTGTGTCCAAGTAATAGCATCCGGAATAGTAGATTTTTAAAATAAATTTTCCTGGGTGGCTGTGTGGTAAAGTTTGTTAAGGGAGAAAAAAAATTGATCAACTATAAATTCCCTCCCCCCTTACTTGAGTACCCATAAGAGACTAATAAACTATAAACTTCAGCACCGAAGGAAATAAAAGTAACAAATCTGCTTGAGAGTGTATCTTCTAGGGCAGTACTCTACTGCAGACAAGGGCTATCCTTCCTTCTTATGAATGACTTTGAGTTTTCATAGACCAGTGGCATGTCATAAAGTACTCTCCTAGTCAGCAGCTGGGCTGAGACAGATTTCTGTTCAGGTGCCTTACAAAGGATAATACCATTGCAAGGAGATTAAAACTCCATCTAATCGCTTTCTATAAATAATAATCATGAAAATCAAATTTCAATAACTCTTTTTGTCTCTCCTTTTAAAACAATTATCACAATCTTGATCATCTATTAAGATGTCAATCACATGTTTATTGTTTATTCTAAAATCACTGAAGCTATAATAAGGGGCATTACAGTGCATTCAACATGCCCACATTTATGCAATGCTATCTGGGAAACTGCTGCCCCCACCCTGATGTTACTGTGCTTTTCTGGTATATCAAATTCACAGTTATGAGAAGGTTCAGTTTCACCTTACAGCTGTCAAATCTTACAGTAAAATTAAAAGGGCCACCAGGAAAAGGGATGAGAGCAAGAATCTCAGGCTTGTTATGAAAGGTCAGTTTGAGAATTTCAGAGATATCAAGCGCTATATTGTTAAGTCTCCTAGATACCACTGAAAATCCCAGCCTCAGAACTTACAGGCAGAGTTTTCTAAAGAAATTACAACAATCAATTCTTCAAGGACATAAAAACAACTTGTGAAAATTGCATATGATGTGGACAATTTTCATATACATTTAATGAGTACTGCTTCAAATTACACTTTTAAGCGTGAACATTAAATCTTGATTGTGTGTTTATCTTTTGTTGAAAGATATGAAATAGAAATATTATTTGTTATTTTTTAATATTAACAAATTCCTGTGAGCAACATTTAGCTACTGAAAGTTGTCAGATGTCTAAGTGAATGAAAACACGATTTAACTGAAGCTATTTTTCATCTTTCTACAAAACTATTTGACAATCATGATAAAAATTAAGTGGAGTTATATACGAAATTTATCAATGCAAATCATATTCTGTTAAGTGTTCTTTCAGTCATTAGATCTGTAGTAGACAGAAGTCCCAAGACTGCAGCCTTTGGCTTTATGTAGTCTACAGTTGATCAAAAATTGTTATCCAAGTAATTTTCAAAGATAAAATTATGCTTCCAGCTAAATACATGTTCTACAGAAAGTGTATGCTTTCTGCACAAAATTTCTCTTTTTTTTCTTGTTAATGAAACAAAAATCTGGAAATGTTTTTTTTTGGAGAGGTTTGTTTTTTCGCCCCAAAATATCCTTAGCCCACATAAATCTAGTCATCTAAAAGTCTTAGATGATCAATTTTCGATTAAGCATCTATCTTTTATATAGGGATTAATGAGCAAAATGTTTGCTTTCAGCAAAAAATAAGCTTTAGCAACAGTAACAAGCCACAGTGTCTCAGGCACCCAGCTTTGCAGAAGGGCGGAGGGCTCCCTCCCTAGATTTATGAATAAATATTATAGGAGAGCTTCATTTTCAGTTGTACTATGTATTTGCCACCCTTTCAAAGTCACAGTAAACAAAAACTGATAGTAATGCGCATGAGGTAAGAAAATATAATTATATGTTAAATATCTGAATAAGGAAAAATTGATTATTAAAGTTTTATTTTTCCATTCTCAACTGTTGAGAAATATCCCTTCTGTTATTAGTAAAGAGAAAAATAATCTGAGTGCAGGCCAAAATATGTTGGCCAAGCAAAGACAGGAAGGCTGATCTTTCTCAAGGGCAGCAACTAATACTTACATTGCAAATGCTTGTGCTATTCCAGTAACTGGCCTGATCCTGCACTACTGAGATCAAAGGATGTTTTTCACTTCACTTCATTGAAGAAAGTTTTATGTGGAAAAAAAAGTTAAATCTGCAGTTCTGATAGACTGTTCCAAATGCCATAAACAAACAACTGAATAAATGGACTCATTTAGGCTTGATTTAATGTGCTTATCTTCTTCTTCTTCTTTTTCTTCTTCTTCTTCTTCTTCTTCTTCTTCTAAATAAGCTGTATATGATGATGAAGAAATAAAAAAAAAAAAAAGAAAAATGAGCTAGAAAATCATAGAGACCTATTCTTGGTGAGCCAAGGAGAAAGGCCAAGAGCTTTTCTGCTATGAAATACAAGTAAACCGTGCTCAGGTAGTTTTGACTGATCTTGTGGTCTAATGCTGTCATAAACTTTAAAATGTATTGAATTCATTGATTAATTTAATATATGGTCTTCCTTAAAAGCAAAAGCTGTAAATAATTACATCCATTAAAATAAGAATTCGTTAGCTGAATGAAGAAAGCAAGGACTGATTTTTATGGGATCTGTCTAGTTGCTTAACCTATAAGAACAATGCATTCAAACTGGGAGAAGAAAATGCGTTTTTACTCAACCACTGACTTATTATCAAGTGTCTGATGAGAGATTTTCTTCTCTTATTGGCCACACTTGTGTTCAAAGAGCCCTTTATTTAAAATGAGACACAATTATGAAGCCCAGAAAGGCAACTGAACCTCTTTACTAACTTCTTGTCTTTTCTATTACAGAGCTGCAAGAAACTAAGACTGCCGAATATTACAGAATATCTCACAATCCTCTGGATTACAGGATATTATTAATGGATGAAGATCAGGACAGGATCTATGTGGGCAGCAAAGATCATATTCTATCTTTGAATATTAATAATATAAGCCAAGACCCTCTGAGTGTAAGTTCAGAATTTATTTTGAGAATCCAAGGTCTCTTCACTGCATACCTTTCTTTCTAAGAGAAAAAATGTGCATTTCATTAGTTTGCAGCCGGCAGAAGTCCAGGCCCACACCTTATTGAACTATTAGTACTTGTTTTATGTGTAATACAAGATGAACAAAGTATTAGCATGTCTACTCCTCAGACAGTGCATTTGACCTATTTACTTGTTTCGAAGTGATGTTCAGCATGGCTTGGCCTCATAAGCAAAATTCATATGGGTTGGTGGAGCTGAAATTTTTCCAGTCCTCTCAACAATTTAAGATAATTCAGAAATGCATTTTGAAAAGAAGCCTGTAAGCCAGAAGAAGATATTCCAAAATGCTCTCTTTTTCAGGCCAGAGGGAAAAAATAACCAGATAGAGCTGACGTTAACCTTCGAGCGTATTTATTTTTGTTTCCTACTCTGAGCCTAATCTCTGAACTGTTTTTCAACTTTTGTTATGTCTGTGTCAGCCCTTGCCCTTCAGCTGCATAGCTGAGACATCTCTAGTTTGGGGTTTTTTTAGACACTATGACCCTCATCTCACTCTTGCTGCTATCCTTTTTGTCTTGGCATCTTACTGAGATGCTATTTTCTAAGGACACTCTATTTCCTACAAGCTCACTCTGTAGCAGGCAGCCTGTGTATGAAAAGTATTACATTATTGCATATTTGAAAAACCTCCACAGGTTTCTCCCTTATTTCCAGATCCAACTCAAATCCAGCTTCTCAATTTTTAAAGTAGGTGAACTGAAGTATTTGTGTACCCAGAAGCCCGACCTTGCCTCACCTGTCTTTAGACTATCACAGCTACAATACTACCTTCAAATGTGCAGTCCAGGCCTTATTTTACTAAATTCATCAGATCCTTTAATTTGTGGGCTTTACTGCTGTGCCTCGGGATTACTGGGGAGCAGAGACATCTCGCTTGCAGCAGCTAAGTTAAATGCCTTACTTAGGAGGCAGGGCTTTTAATGGGTCGTCAGAAAGAGACAGCCCCGCTGGAGGGTGATTAAGAGCACTGAAATTAGGCTTTGCTCTGACTCACCCTCTGGACACGCCTGTCCACCTGAACTGATTACGTTTGGAGCCTAGGGAGACCAGCTCTCTAATCTGCACATTTAAATTAAATGCCTCTTATGTGATGATGTGACCATGTCCTCCTCCCTCCTAATGTTGCAGTAATCTCCATCTGTAATGAAGCCTTCTTCTTTGGTCTGAAATAGCTTATCTGACCTTTTTGCTAATTCACCTCTCATCAGTGATTCTGCTAACCTCACCTATAAACCTGTTGTGTTCCCACACTACCCATTTCAGTCCTCTCATAACATGTTGCTTTTAGTTCTGTAAAGAGTTCAGTTACGTGGATTTGCATCTCTTTCACAAAGTATATTCTGCAGTATAAAGCTGTAAGACATTTTAAGAATCAATTTATGCACAGAGAAACAAGATAAAAACCATCAGCCAAAAGCAAAAAGCCCAAAGTTTTCTGCATAGCGACAGTGATCACCCAATATTAGACTCAGAAATAATCTCTGCAATTCCACTTATTCTTTCTTTTGGTTATTTGCTTTTATAACAGATTCACTTTGCTAATCTTACGCCATTACAGAGACCCTATATGCATATGCATACATACCTACAACTCTATGTGCATACATATGTGTGTGTGTATGTGTGTATGTATATGCACATACAGAGACGTTTTAATGTTAATATTAAGGCTATCTTGATGTTAAATGTTAAATGTTATCAGGCTATGATGTCACCTATTAAATTTCTAGGGAGTGGTTTCTAATGGATGTCGTTTGTATTCCAAAATCAAAATAACTAATGGAAAAACCTCAAAACCTTCAGTGTGAATAGAGTTCAGATAAACACTCAGAGATTGAGGTACTTTACTTTAGTAAAGTTGTCTGCAGTGCCAAGTTTACTAAATTCAGCTGGAAGTCTTAAGATTTTAAGCAGGTTTTACTATAAGATATCCAAATTTTTACTTTTAAAAATTAAAAGTTATTACAAGAGCCTTTCTTGCCATATTCCAGTTTTCAATGTGAACAATTTCTAAAAGTTCAGTAAAAGAATAGTGTCTAAGATAATGATGATTAAAATCTGTCTCATATTCAAACAATGAGAACATGAAAAGATGTTATTCAAGTTCAATTCTAAAGAAGACTAAATAAATTGATTAACTTATCTTTAAAATGTGTAATAATCTTTGGGCCAAATTACATGAATTAGACACTCACTACTAACTTTAAGAAAGTTGTACTAATGTATATCAGCCAAGGACCTGGTCCGTTATTTTATTTATTGCATTCTAGAATGGAAAGTTGTTTTCATTTGTAAATGAAAATCCTTGTTTCCCTAGAATCAAGGTGTAAAAGCTATCAAAATCCTAACTTATTGGTGTAAGTTATGCAGCACAATGATTTCTGTTAGTTATTACAAATAAATCAGATAATAAATAAGTTACGTAAAATTTACTTCTTTCCTCACAGATTTTCTGGCCAGCATCAGCAAACAAGGTTGAAGAGTGCAAAATGGCTGGCAAAGATCCTACGGTAAGTCATAATACACATGCGCACGCACACGCATACACAAATTACATACTTGGCAATAAAGTAAGAGCACCTTGAGTGCAGCCAAAAATAAAATGAAAGAGGTGTTTGTTTTGCTTTTAAATACTCTGCAGGCCAAACAATAAAGTGAATTTATGAAAAATCATGCTATGTAAAGAGAATGCACCTTCAGACTTTGACAAACGGAAAAAGATATGCATTATACACTTCCTTACCTAGCTTTTGTTTCTTGCAACCGGTAAATTTAGAAGACAATACTATTCTAGGTATGTTCTGGAGACAATGCTGAATAATCTAAAGTTAAGGATCCATACAGGCGCTGGTTGTCTAGTCATCCCTATGAATGGGACATCGACAGATGGCGGTACCTGTCTCCGTTCTGACAGCACACACTGCTCATCGCAGAAATATCCCAACACCTCTTTTTATGACTTCCATAAAGCAATGTCCAAATAAGTATCAGGCAACGGTATGTTTCCTAGAAACAGATGAAGATGGTCGCTGGAATTATGCACACCCCAGAGAGGTTATGTTGAGTCATTGTGTGCCACAGCCTATTATTCTCCCATCTAAATGCAGATACCTTCCTGGGCACTTACATCAGGTGATAATTTCCCAAAGCTCTCTTTATAGATAGTAGATAGAAATGAGCAATTCTAGAAGACTCAGCGGTACAATACAGCAGTTTATGCGTTTGGCAGCATTGTGTATGAACAGAGTTACCCTCCTAAAATGATTTGGTCTTACAGCCTATATATGCATAAATTTTACTCACGGAAGAAAACTAAATTGTAAAGAAATGCAGGAAGTCACATTTTTATTCTCTTAAGTTACCTTTTGACTATTTACCATTTCAGTAGTGCCTAATAGTCTTTATCCTAGTTTTCTTTCTAGCTGTTTAGATATAACTGTTTTCCAAGCGATAATTAAGTATTAGAATTCATAATCTGTGGTACCAAAAATGCAATTTATGCCAAATCCAATTTATGCAATTTATGCCAAATTTCTACCAAAAATTGATCAAATTTTGCTTATACCTTGATTTCAACCAAAAACTATGGAGATCAGAAGACCTCACATTAGATGTAATGATCTTCGGCACATCCTCCACAGCATAGCTCTAGGATCATAATTAATGAATTAATTGAAGTGCATAAGCAGGTGTATATAAATACAGCTTTTAATCTCAGAAACAATAGTGTCAATGTAAAAGTCCACTGAACTTAGTATGAAAACTCTTATTTATTTGAAAAGTCTCTAGACCAAGACTAATGTTTCTATTTATATAAGTTACACATTTCTTATTTTTAATTAAACCTACAAAAAGGCATGCAGTTCACTTATTGTGATGTTATAGTAATTCAACTCAGTCCATTTTGTAAGAAAAATATATTTTCTTTTGCAAAATATAATGCAACTGTTGATGAAAGTAAAGGAAACCAGAAGGTTGACCTAGCGGAGTGTCATATAGTTTTTTGAGTAAAACCATGGAGAGGAGTTCACTGTAATGCCCCAGAGCAAGAGAATGAGTCTTCATGAATAATTATATTATGGTTGGCATGGCAGCTTACCTGCTTTTTTCTGGATAGCTATGACAATGAAAAACAAATATTTTCCTATTGAATGCTCTGTTTTTATACATCTTTACCTTTTTCGGGTTATTGTGGCAAACTCTATAGTTAGCAGCCAGTTAAGATGCAGTAAATGTGAAAATACAGCATATAGCATGTGTTAATGATGATGTGAGTTGCATCATCAGCTGGGAATAGACTGATCAAGGAATTTTTTTTTTCTTTGAAATAGAAAAGTTTCTTAGTTTTACTCACGTCTCCAACACACGATGACATTCTTATAAGGCAAAAATACAAAAAAGTAGATACTTTAAGCAGAAAGCAGTATGAAAAAGATATGCTCTGTGGGGAAAAAAGCTAAGACATGATGGAGTGCTAGGCACTCCAGAGAACTTTTAAACTTAGATATTTAGTAAGGAGACTTTCCTAGCCTTTAACCACATTGAAATATCTAAAAGGTGCTGCATTTGGGGACAGATTTCTGAATAGAACCCCTTTTTTTCAACAGCAAGTTAATTGTGGATGTAGCTAATATATCTGTAAAGTAATGAATTAAGTATGTCTAGCCTTTCATCTGCATGAACTTTAATTCCTTTTTTTAATCCCTGCAGTTCATTGTAGAAGAAAGATGAAGGTCTAAAAATAGAAGCTTGTGTGAAGTTTCTTAACATTTGTCCTTAATATGATAGATCCTCAACTTTAAAACAAAACAAAACAGAAGTATGGTACTAAAGGGTAGTCACTGCTCCTACTAAAATCAGTGACATGTCTTGTTGTACACTCATTGAAGTATGTGGAAAAAAGAGAACCCAAAGTTAAATGATTGTTTGTAAATTAGAATTTACAGTTCAATTTTGATAGAATTCTTTTGAGTTTGGTTCCTAATAATAATGGTAGAAATAGAGAATGAATTCAGAATAATAAAGTTTCAACTATTCGAATTTGTCGCATAAAATTGAAAGTAAATGCTTGATAATATTTGGCCTGTCAGAGAATAATGGTGATCACAAGGTAAAAGAGGAATAGACAGACTTGAATCAGACAGCAAAGAAGGACTTTACACAAACAGCCAATTGTTTTCAAAGGAGATTTGGTGCGCCCTAACTTTAGACAAACATTTACGTCTGAATTTGTCATTCTCAGCGCCCTTTTTAGTTAGTGAAGACAAATAGTCACCCTCAAATAGTACCTTCACCAGGATAACTTGGATGTTTACATTGAAATGGTATCTATTTCTCTTCATTTATTGTGAGGAAAGCCTGGGGCAGAGACATCTGCCTTTCAGATGTCTAGAGTAAAGCAGTTCCCCAGATATTACTATTGTGTGAGCGTTGGTATCAACTGCGAGTAATACACAAATAGCTGGGTCATAACCACCCACTTTGGCAAATAAAAACCATACTAAAGATAACCATTTAATGTCACCTCAAACCAGTCTGATTTAGAAGCATGAAGTACTACAATAACAAGTATAAGGAAATAGTAAACTGAGGTATGTGTTATTGAAGGGCAGACCTACAGAACAGTTTTTAAATTAAAAATGCCTTACTTTGATGGGTCGTGGCCTGAAAGTGCAATACCCAGATTAATCATGTAGTAAACTATAAAGGGAATTGAGTGGTGTGCTGAATTCAGGGGAGATGGGCAAGGGATCACAGAATATCATCAAATGATCTTCCAGCATTGAGATAGGAGAACACTGGTATTGAGCCAAATTGTGTTTTACTTATCTGAAAATCATCAGTGGGGAGATATGAAGACACAATGTATGTCAGATGATCACCTAAGAAGGCTGCCCTTAAAGATAGGAGACTTTCATGTAACCATGACTGTATTCTTGCTACAGAAACTTTGGAAAGTAAATGGCATGATGTTGAAGCAGAATGTCATGTGCCACAAAGCAGTACTGTTCCTGCCGTTGTTTTCTTGTCCTGCTCCCCGAGGACTTTCATGTTGAGATTTCCATCATGTAATCCTTTATCTAGGACTGTTCCAGAAAAGCTTTTTGTGAACAGCAAGAAAAGAAAGCATCAGCTTACACTCTGGCATATATAAGCTAGTTATACACCTTCAGCTGTCCTTTTTCACTTTCCATAGCCGTAATGTGGATGTCATTATGTACTGCTGACACAAGCCTAATTTGGATAGCAAGAAATTGCTAAAGCCACTTCTGAGCCAAAATAAGATCACTGGATCTGAGAAAATGAATATGGTTAAGAGCAACCCTCAGCTTTAGAGAAACAATATGTTTTGACTGGGTTAAAGGATTTTGCTGATACAGCAAGAGCTAGCACTTTACTGAAGATGGGCAGTGTTCTCTGTAGAGAAACTCTTTCTGTGAACGCTGAATGGCTTGCAATCATAACACTAGTTTTTCAGGTGCCATAGTAGAGTACAAGCTCTTGCTGAACTGAAAATATGAATGCCTTTAAATACAAATGAACTGCTGTTTGATCAACAAGGATTAACTCCACTGATTTTCATGAAAACAACTGATAGCGGTTTCCAATCCTGCATTCACAAAAAAACATGCAGCTCTTACTGATGTCGGTGGAGGTTTGGATGGTTGAATATGAAGGCAGATCTAGGATCTCAGTAAGAAAAACATTCAGAAAAAGCACATATTTTTAACCTGAAGTGCATTAGCAGCTGATCATGATCAAAAAGATATGAACAAGGGAAGAAAGGGGTATGCTGGAAGGAGAAAACTCGGTAAACTAATAGTGTGTTAGTGTGTGTTACTAACGTTATGTTTCATTTTTCATGACTATTTGAAGATATTACCATTGATCTTCACTATGAGGCAACAATTAATTGCAAGTTTGCTCACGTAGCTTACTGTTCAGAGTTTTAATGTTTTGGACAGAAACTAATGAGATCTGAGATTTGGATTTGCTTTGTTGTTTTTTTTTTTAATTATCTCCAGCTGTTAGGAAACAAAATAGGGAGAAAAGAGACTCTTAAAGAAACTTCCTTAGGCAGCTTCTGGCTTTCCTGCAGAGGTCCTGCTTCTTCCCATGCGATGTCTGTGGGTGAAAATCAGATTGCTGTGTGTTTATGGGAAAGTTACGTTCACTCCTCTGTAACTCCTCTCTAGTGCCCTGTCCATGCCCGATTCCCAGACTGGAGAAAATGGCAAGGAAAGAAAACAGAAGTCTGCAGCTGTTGAAATCCAGTGACTGCCAAACTCAGTAGCTGTTTTTCTACTTCATATTTCTTTGTTGCACAGAAAGTGAGGGGATAACCCTTCACTGTGGCTCCCCAGTCCTCTGTCCTGCCTCCAGATCCTTCAAAAGACCTTGCCATAAAGCAAGTTGGCCGGAGGCCTTGAACAGAGGTCAAATGTTTAGCTTTATAGAGGGAATGAAAAAGACAGAGGAAGTGAATTCATCTTAATATGACAGGTTACAAGAAGTTGTACTGTAAAATGTATATTTACGAGGACACTATTAAAATTATCAACTGTTTCGATTTCGTACAGTTCCCAATATCTAATGACCTTCACCAATGTGAAATTGTATTGTCTGTATTCCCTGCAGCATGGCTGTGGAAATTTTGTGCGTGTGATACAGTCCTACAATCGTACCCACCTGTATGTTTGCGGCAGTGGAGCCTTCAGCCCCGTGTGTGTATACATCAACAGAGGGCGCAGGTCTGAGGTGGGTCTCTCCTCATTTTGTCCACTCGTTGTGTTTTGTGGGTCTTTCTAGTGTTATGGAAAACTCAAAATTTTGATACTGCACAAATCTATGGTCCATGTAGTTTCCTTCATCCATGTAAAATAGTAAAAAGAACAGAGATCCCTGTTTTTCTGACAGTCCTGTTACCAGCAGGAAATAAAGCCCTGCTCAAAAACTATGCTCAGATATGATATTCATCTGAAATTTCAGTAGGTCCTTAAAATGTTGGGATATTTTGGATGGGAACATATTATTTTATCTAATGAACTCTTTTTAAATTCTGAAAATTGTCAAGAAATACTTGCAAAGAAAGAGGCAGTTTCATAAAAAGTAAATTAGGCAGTCCACCAGCTTCTTATACTACCATGTGCTACTTACTGATTCCTGAAAGAAGCACTTAAGTGGATTAGCTGTTCGGCTATGTGACTGTTTGCTGGACTTCAGCTTAATATCAATTAGATGCCACCTTACTGTAGGTACTATTTCCAGTGAATTTTCATCTCTGCATCAGAAGTTCTGTCCAATTAGATTCTGCCAGCATGAAGTTAGGAAGTTTTCTCCTCATTGTGAGATCCTCAGGGGTGTAAATCTCATTTTCTCTAAATAAGTCTCAATTTTTTCTGTATTTAGTTTCACTGTGTATTTCAAATATACAAAGTACCAGATGTTTCATAAATACATTGTCCAGATTTCATGATCTGAAACTGGAATGTTTGTTTATGTGCAAATGTAATAGGTAATAAATTAAGCAAGCAGAAGGAGAAAGAAAAGCACTTATCCAAGACCCAGCACCTCAGTAGCTCATATCCGCAGGCACAGGAGAGGGTAGTATATTTTCCTGTGCAATGTGGAAGCAGATGTGTTAGAAAGGAAGATCAGAGAGTTCTACCTGGACTTTTGCCATGAGAGGGCAACTTTAAAAGCTGGGCTTGCTTCTAGGCAAGACAGTGGGAAATTCATTACTGATTTCATTGGGAGTATGATGGGAATTCTGGCCAAGACCCAGGCACACTGCAAACGCTGCCAGGGAGGCAATAAATCACTGTTTCTCCAGGTAGGTTTGCACAGGATGATCTCAGCTGCTTTTGGTAGATCGCTATCTGGCTTCAGCCTCCTTGACAGAGGATGTAGTCTGAATCACTGCACCTTCACTCCTAATGAATTATCCAGAAGTAGAGGTTCATAGGCCTGGATTTAAAAGCACAAGCAAGCAGTTCTGATGGAGTAAATACGTCCCTCTAGCTTATTTTGCTTATGTTGTGAAACTGAGGTCTGTTTCTTCAGTTAGCAACTCATTATCCTAATTTACTATTGAAAAGTGATTTAAAACATATAAAGTGATCTCATTTGTCTCTAATTCATGCAATATCCTTTTTTAAGCTTAAGCAGTAGTATCATAGTCCAGAGAACTTTTGACTCTCTTGATATTTAGCTTGTTGTGCATGAGATTTCTATTGGAGGGGGAAAAAAAGACATGAGACTTCCAGATGATGCAAGATGTTTAATTTCTAAAGTTAAAAATAGAGATACATATATTGGAAGAGCAGAATTGGCTTCACTTAGCCTGTCCGTATAGCTGCATGCCTATAATCAATTGATTAAATAAACTGCTGTTTCAGACGTCTGGAGTCTGTCAGACATTTAACTGTAGGCATTGCCTTCTCAAAGCCATTACTGTACAAGTCAACAAAAGCATAACAGTTTAAAATCAGGTATTTCCTTCTGAACCTATTGCATACATATAAATGCATGCCTAATTAACAGAACAGAGTGAAGAACTATGTAGTGCTGATGGGAGTAGTGACAACTTTTTTTTCTCTGCTTTTATCATTTTACCTTGAATTTTTCAGTTTTCCATGCACAGAAGTCTGTTTTTGCAGGTGCAAAATTACTATTTAAAAAAGAACATCTGTTTTTCTCTAGAAGCTACAAAGCCTGACAGTAAGAGTCGTATCCAATAATCACAAGAACTAGGCCTGTTTTGTTCTTTGATCTCCAAGGTTCCACTTAACGTCCGGGAGGTGGCTTCATCGATGATGCAGAATGTTGCCCTGTTTATTAAATCATATTTCCCTGAAGGAAAGCTTGAAAAATAGTTCTTGCTCAACACACTTTTGGTCTTTGGTAATGACTCTTTTAGTCATCCAAACATATTCTAAGGGCAGAGCAGAGGTAAACAGAAGTAAATATAGTCACTATGTGAATTAATTACAGACTAAATAAGTAGTTTAATATATATTAAAATTAAATATTGTCTTGGGGCCAGTTTAATATTAAAATTAATTTTATAAAATTAAATATTGCACATTTTGATTTGGTAAATAGTGGCAGAACATAGTAAATATAGATTAGCATCAAACTACATATTAATCTAGAAATAAAACAACAAAAAAAAGAAGATAATAGTAGAAACTTCATATTTATACCTTAGCATTGTGTAGAGGGCTTATCACTAAAGTGATAGATAAGTGTGATTAAATCAGGCAAAACAAGAGAGGGAAAAGAGATAAGGGATAATAGAAAATGAAAACTTCCTGTTGTAGCTGAGCATTTCAGATCAGTGGAGTTTACAATTTATTATCACCAGATGGCTGCTCAATGATCTGTGTGGCATCCCGGATTCATTGTGATTTGTGTTAATAGTGAAAGAGGATATAAGAAGTTGTTGGCTTTAGTTTAATACCTACCACACCGATATGCATATCACGAAAGCCTTTCTTTGGAGTTTTGGTCAACCACCTTTTTCAATTGAAACAAAGATACTTTAAGGGGTTTTTTTTGCTTGGTTAGTTTGTTTTATTTTGTTTTTTCTCTCTTGCAATAATCTCTTAGATTATTTTATTAAATAATCTAAGTTTGTAATAGGATGCTAGGAACAAGTTGTTCATGTGGTGTGCAATGGTATGTGAGTAGATGTGCTACAGATCTATATCTATTCCATTACTGCATGGAGTTTTTAAGAGCTTGACTTGGACCCAATAGTCCCTTTTTGTTCAGCATACATTCATTCTTTAGTATTATCGGGAACTAGAAAATGAAGAGGTGCACCAAGATGGGGGAATATTGTAAAAGTGTTCAGACTGTCTGTATTTTGAGCTGTAGTCCAGGTTACTTCTACTTGGACAACTATATCTCCTATTTATAAATCACAAAATATAAACAAGGCCCCATACCAAGATTCCTAAATAGCAAAAAATTTCCAAGAGATTTCTGGCTTCAACAAGAGATGCTAGTAAATCATCTATCACTATGGAACTGGAGCTCTGAGAATAATCCAAGAGACGGCACTGAATAAAAGAGGTGTCATTTAGGGGTTATTTTTGGAGGTCTAATACCGCAGGAAAAAGCAAAATATTTGTATTATGACAAAATGGCAGCTGGGAATGGCAATAAGAGATTTATATTTAACATTTTTTATTTTTTTAGTAGCTTTATTATAAATGTTTCAGACTAGTATAAGTATCACCACGTACCCAGCAAATAAATGACAGGTAGCTTCAAAAATAAAGAAGTAATCTCTACAGAGGTTACTGTAGTAGTATCAGGACAGTTAAAGACTCCAAAGCATAACTGAGCTAGAGGGAAAAAAATCTCTATTTCAATATCTGCAATTTAGAACAACAATCATGAAAATAACAGAGTAGTGGTGAGAAAGTTGTCTAAAAAGACAATGCAAATCTGCGTAGGAAAACTAGATTGTAGATGGGGCAACAACAGTCCTGAGCTGAGCACTGTTAATGCTGGAAACAACAAAGCCGAAAAAAATGCTTTCTCTCTGCAAATTTCAAAAATGAGGTGTAACATGAACATCTATGTTACAGGAACAGATCTTCAAGATCGACTCCAAGTGCGAATCAGGGAAAGGACGCTGCTCTTTCAATCCTAATGTGAACACGGTGTCTGTTATGATCAGTAAGTAAAAATACTCCGAGATGCTGAGGTCTAACTCCTTATTATCATGCACAGTGTGGAGTAATGAGATGTCAGAAATGAACTGGCACAGACTTCAGCTTGTGAAAAGGAGTCCATTGCGTTTGTGCTGATGGGCAGATATCGTTACAAGGTTTATGAGAAGCTAAGGATGGACGTGTGAACAACATGCAAGAATTAGCTGTTGAGAGAAAGAGAGAAAGAGAGAAAGAGAAAACAAAAGATTGTCGCTTTTCCAGCATATACATTTTTTCCCAGGGTTAGTTTCAACTTTCTATTACCCTGTCTAGCATTTTATGTTTGAACAGTTTCTGACCTTGTTCATCCTGGGCAGTACTTGTGTCTCATTTAATCATTTGTAAAAACTCAGTGTAGCCAGGGAAAGAAAGCCTAAAGACTGTAGTTAGTTTGAATTTCATTTTTCTTGTCATCTCTGCTGTAGAGCCCACACGCTATTACAAGGCTCTTCATTCCTCATTTGGCTTTATACCCAACCAATTTAGCAATTTTCTTCCTTATGAAAGGCCAGAAAGTGATACAACCGGCACACCTAAAATATCCTTGTGGATTGGTGGGGACTGTGCTCAGTAACAGTGAGATACACCCCTTACAAATAGTTACTGCTGTGCCTATCACACTACTAAGAGAAAATTCACTGGGAGACGTAGACTTTGTGTAACCTAAGTCATTAGTAAAAGACACTTTTTTCCTTTTCTTTCTTTCTTTTTTTTTTTTTTTAAACCAGAAGATTAGACTGTGGACTTTCTCGAGGAGCAGCGCAGTGCTCCTCAGCTGTCATACTGAGTCAGTGATTGCCCAAGAAACTCCCCACTGGCTTGTAAAGCAAGAAATGGAAGCAGCCTGCTATGAAATGACTGGGCTAAATCACAGCACTTAGAAGACTAAACATTACCTTAATTCAGTAGGCTTGCTCAATCAACGCTTTTGTTCCCCCGTGCCTGCTACCAGCTGGCAGTAGGTTGCCAGCAGCACGCCGCTGGCCAGACGGAAACACGGGCCTGCCCAGACGGCAGGGCTGCCGCTGAGCTCGGGCGAGCCCTCGGCCGTGCTGCCAATCCGCCTCGCTGCCGGACACGGCACCTTTCACATTTCCAACACCTTCACAGACTTCTGAATCCAAAGCCTCGATTTTTGAATGTGTACCTAATCCTTGCAGTGTTTGTGGCTGCAAAGAGAACAGCGGTTGCACAGATTTTTCAGACTTCCTTTAGCAAAGAGAGTTTAGTGCACACAGAACACCAGATATTTGACCCGAGGTTTACAAGGAAACAATGTATAGTGTGTCTGCCATTCGACTTCCACTGAAATCAATGAGAATTACACATATATTGTGCCAGATATTTCCTTAGAAGTCTGGGTCTCATGGAGCATAAGGAAAGTATCATATATTCTATCATAAATAGTCTTCAAACTATAAATTAAAATTTTTTTTGATTCCTCGTTGCAAATATATTTAGTAGAAAGGACAAATAATTTCCTTCACAGAGGTATGAACTGAAGGGGAATTCCAGCACTAAGAAGACAGGAAAATGCTACCAAGATAGGTCTCTGAAAATTTACTCCCTTTGTATTTTTATCTCACCAGTGATCTATGTTCAGTGTTTACTGGTACTCACTGAGTAAGAAAGTTTGTTCAAACCCAGTGATGAATTAATCCACTGCTCTACATTGCTGTTCTGGTCTTAAGTGAATCACTCTCATTAAAGAATAAAGTTTCTTCATTCCTGTCTAGATTTAATGAAATCCTATTAAAGTATACTGCTTCTGAAGAGTAAAACTTTTTTTTTCCTGCAACCAATATATGACAGCTTTGTTCATCTCAGTAGGCTTTACATCATCTTCCTTAATCCCTTAGTTATGTGACTGAGGAGACCTCCCCCAGTGTCGGACCCATCTTTCATGACATAATTCATCTACAAAGTTTAAATTATTCAACAAAGGTCAATTTTTTTTTCAAGAGATTCCTACAGATTTAGTTATATACTTTATCTCTGAATTCTCTGTAGCTACAAGATTCAATCACTTCAAAAGCATTAAGCTTCAATGAATTTAGCCTCAATATCCATGCTGGAAAAGTGATGATTTTACAATTCACAGCATGACCTAAGAATGATGGGGACTGAAGCTACGGTACTGAACTCTCATGCAAGTGTCTTCAGAAGACGGGAAATGCTGCTAGACTGGGAACTCCTCCACAATAAAAGAACCATTTTTTATAGCTGCAATTTCTCATCAATTCTGGGCATCTCTAGCATCCTGCCCAGCACACAGTATGACCTTAGAATGAAACAGAAAACCTGATTCTCTCTTCAAAAGAAAGTAATATTATAAAAACAAATCAGAACTCACTAGAATTTACCATTGTACAAAGACATTTTTGCATCAAAGCAATGAAAAATATGCTTTGAGCAAGCTTGGCTTGATCATGTACAGTATGTATGTCTTTTTTCCCCACCAAAGCTCTGAAGTATTTACAAAAGCAGACATACCTCATCAGTTCAGTAATTCCCCTAATAACAAAGAGCAGTAGTGCAAATTATTGTTCTGTCCAAACAAACTGTGTGGAATTTTAGAATTTAACTAAAAGGAAATAGAGCTGACAGATGTCATCTGGTACATGATTAGCAAGCAGACTCTAGGATTACTTAAGGCATAACTGATAGAGCTGATATGTAACAGGATTAAGAATTACGTACTATTATTATTATTATCGCTTTTATGTGTGTGTGTATATACAAAGCACTAAGAAAAAGTGAGAACCATAAGCCTGATCTCTTTCAATGAATTTATTTCATGAGAGTAAAGCTTTGATCGTTTGAAGCAGTGAGGCTGATATACAAAAATTGATTATAGGTAAATACTGAACTGACATCATTCTGTCAGTACGTATTTGGGAAGTAAATGCTTCACAGACATGCAGCAAATGCATTATTTACCTACATCTTTATACTTGTTATCCCAAGAGAATGGGTTTCCCTGTGTATGATTCCTCTCTTCCCTGGTAGAGACGAAAGCAAAAGAAAGGCTGCAGTATCCACTAGCTCCTCTTTAGGAGTTCAGTCTGGGCTGTAACCGGTAGTAGAAAAATAAAATCTCTAGGGTTTAATTTTCTCATGAGCGAATAAGCTTCCGTAGCGATGGACACGTGCTCACATGCATACACACACACACACACACACGCGCACGCGCGCGCACCCACACACACACACACGCGCACGCGCGCGCACCCACACACACACACACGCGCACGCGCGCGCACCCACACACACACACACGCGCGCGCACACACACACACACATGCACACACACACACATATCAAAGCATAAAAATAGTGTCAAGAGTTTCAGAACCTGTGACTCTTGCCAGATTGACCACACTCCTTGGGTAGTCCAGGAAGTCAGACAGAAACATCAATCAAAGGACCCAGCTGTACTGGAATGTATTCAGCCACCACTCCCACTCTGAAAGTTAAAGTTTATTTTAGCTACTGCTTTCTACTCTGGGGTTTCATTGCCATTAGTCAGTGGAAATTGCTTGGTTATGCATGGAGTGGAAAATGATAGTATATGTAATTATAATTATAATTATCTATATATGTATATTTATGCACACACACACAAGCACAGATATACAGTCTGACAGATGGACTGAATTTTCAGTCCTGCACGGGGAACAGAAGTTCATAATTCTGTTAATGTAAGAGTTGCATGTCTAATTCTGTTCATACAAAATAGACCTATACTTAGAATCAAGTATATAAAAGGGAGCAATTGTTGCTCCATATTGCTCTGAGTAAAGTTCAATAATATGATTGTCTGGCCTTTGCAGTACTGAAGTCAGCTTGAGGCTGCCTGGGGCAGCATTGAGAATACTCTCAGTAAAAACTGGCTCAGATCCATTAGCTGCAATAGATGTTGTGCCAGTTACACGAGCAATAAATTCAGCCCAGTCATTTTGTCTACTCCCATAACAAAAAAGCTTTTTTAAGTACTTACTTTAAAAATTGGATGTGATTCTTTTTGATAACACTAGCCTGATTTTCCAAAGGTACCTAGTAATGAAAGTTCAGTCACTAAAACTTTGTATTAAGGAAAGGTTCACCACATATACTGCTGCTGTATTTAATTATGCAGTTCCCTAAAGTCCTTGAGCAAAATCTGATGATTCTCTCTCAATCTTTGAATGAATTTTTGCTTTATACAAAGATATAATCTGTATCTTTGCAAATCAGAGCAGATACCATTTCCACCACCCAAGATTTAAGTGTATAGACTACTATGCAAATAAAGAGCTGGCAAGACTTTAAAATAAGAATAGATCACTAAATATGGATTTCCCAAAAGCCATAACATTGCATTCATTTTCTCTTCCCTCCCTGCCCCTTTCAATTCTCTGTAGATGAAGAGCTTTTTTCAGGAATGTATATTGATTTCATGGGGACGGATGCTGCCATTTTCCGCAGTTTAACCAAACGCAATGCTGTGAGAACTGATCAACACAACTCAAAGTGGCTAAGTGGTAAGATGGGTTTATTTTACCAAAGCTTTTAATGTGTTTCATAGAGTCTCTGCTTTGCTTCATTTAAAATAAAAAGCTTTTATTTCCTTTTCTGAAATTAATTTATAAAGTGACTCTATGAAGAAGAAATACGTGCAAATACACATGCTAGACAGTGCACTTCATGTGGTGCGAAGGAACAGAGGACTCACTGCCTGCGCCAGCCTCGTGGGCCACCCTGCCAGATGTCCCTTCGCCCATTTTGACTGAAGCAAACTGTTCAAGGGAAAGTGTAGGAAAACCTTTCAAAAGACAAGCTGTCAGGCAGCCTGACTTCTGGGGGAGTCCCTTCTTCACCTCTAATGCATAAGACATTACCTTAAATTAGAATATGTCAGACTAAGTTTTTTACAATGAATTACAAACTTGCGGCAATTCAGGCTAACCCACCCCTTAGGGACAGCTCACTACCACTTGTATTCAGAATGTATTTAGGAGAGAGTCCTATTATTAGTTAAGTTAGTGACAATTTTTGCTATTTATTTCAGTGATAAGAGACTGATTATCAACACACAGTAGGAAAGCTAACATTTGAACACAAAAACTTAACTCTTGGCTTCACTGAAATCAATGTGGAAATTCTCCCTGACTTCACTGATAAGCAAACTTTTTCCAGCTACACTATGTTAAATGAAAGTGGTGGTGGAGACATCTACCTCTGAGCAGAGGTAGATGTCAAAGTTTAGGAGGAACTAACAAACATAACGGTTCAATATTAGAAAGCTTTCAAAGTATTTTGAAATAAACATACCTTCTTAAAGTATGTTAAAACGTACTTTAAGTTCTTAAACATAAATTTCTTATTTTGACTCTATTTTTGGGTGACTCCTGTAATTTCTGTATTCCTGTGACTGCTGTGAAATCGCAAGATTACAATTTATTTTATCAGAATGAATTAGATTTGCTATGAAGGGAAAATTACATCCATTTTCTAATTTTTTCTTCTATTTGTATACTCTCTTACGCTCCACTGTATACCCCAAAGTGAATTGGGAAAGAATACCATTAAAAATATCTAATTACTGGATAAGCTGCCTGATATACATGCTCAGAAGAGGTACTTGACAAGCAGGACTTATTTCCATGTTCTGTTAGAGACAGAATCATGATACTTGATCTAGTAATTGAGAATGGGCTCATGAGAACAGAAAAATGCCACAGTCACAGGAATGAATTTTCAATCAGAGATCAAAGCTTTGAATTGGATTGTTTCAAGATTTGTACTCAATTTCAACCAATCAAGTAATCTTGCATAAGCATTAAAAAGATCCTTCAGAGAGGAAGAGGGCCCACTTCTTCCTTCAGACAAAGGAGAAGGTCTTCTGAGGTCCCCCTCCCAACACTTTTAGTTAGACTTCAGCATAGGAAATTGCCAAAAGCAAATGCAGGTAGAACAGCAATAGTGGCTGCCTAATAAAAGATTGTATTAAAGTCACTTGCATATCATAATGCACAGTTTAAAGGAGAATACTGGTAATAGCACTACTGTGTTTTGTACTCTCAGGTGTAGGTATATGTCCTTCAAAAATGGCATGCCTGCTATTCCAGGTTTTTATTGTTTTGTTCTATTTTAGTGCTCTCTTGTAATGTTTGGCATATACACTTTGCTGTTTATCATCTTCTGATATGAACTCAAGGAAACTCTGCTGTTCAAGCATTTGCATATCCTACTTTCCTTTCAGTGTTCCGAGAGCCATTTTCCTCTCTTATTTATGCATCTTTAAAGTACCTTGTTCATTTTTTTCCTAATGAGTCTTTCAGCAGCTTACTCCTTCTCTTATGCTTTCTCTCAGTGAGTCTTTCCTAAAGTGCCCCTGATAACTCACTGATTCTTCCCCCTTCTTCCTCAAAGTCTTTTAATCCTTGTAATCAACTAACGCTCCTGTTTCTGCATTTGAATCACTTTTCTAAAAATCTGCTGCAGAATAAAGTGACACGCAGCAGAAACTTACTTAAGGCTACAGGCTTGAAGCCCTTTAGCTAGTGGTGTATACTATATACAGATGCGAGGCTAGAGCTAAGCTCAACCTGCCACAGCAATACTTCTGTATGCATCAAACAGCAGTTCCTTAAAGGGATCGGTAACTGTCAAAACATTAACTGCTTGTACTGATACATCTTTTGGCCTGTTTCATTTCAGAGCCTATTTTTGTGGATGCTCATGTTATCCCAGATGGCACTGACCCTAATGATGCCAAAGTCTACTTCTTCTTCAAAGAGAGACTCACAGACAACAGCGGCAGCACAAAGCAAATTCATTCAATGATCGCAAGAATATGCCCAGTAAGAATTGTTTTTCCTGCCAGGTTATTGAGACAAATGGCTAGCACAATTCGATAAGCTAAATGATTGTTTCATTAAAATGATTGAAAAGCCTAAATTTATATTCAGTCTTTCTAATTTATATTAGAAACAAATTTTCAGTTGCAACTTCCACCTCCATAATTAAGAAGAGATGTTCTTGAACACATAGCTAGGACCTCAGCTTCTTATTTATATCTGGCTATATCTACATTGATAAGAAAATGTAGCGATTCAGGAATTTGCATATTTCTCTGACTGATTCAGAATAAGTATAGCAATGTTGAATTTCCAAACTTGCTTTCCTTCACATGAATTAGATACGTTTTTTGTATAGTGAAGTGGAAGTGCAAAACAGCTAAGGCTTTCACCCCTACACACATAAAATCTTTCCAAAAAAAAATGGAAATAGCAGAATCCAGCTTTTGAATGGGTTGATTTAACTTTCAAATATTATTTAAATTTTTCCAGTATTTGTCCTTTCTGAGGTCTTGTGTTAATGTATGTGTGAGCCTAACTTTAAGAACATGCAGAGAGACATTAAGCTCAGGAGTAATGCCTACTCATGTACAGTGATTAATGTACAATCACCATACTCCTCATTGTCTCTTTCCTTTTTGTATCTGTGATCAACTGCACATGAAAAATGATTGAAGCAGCTATTATTATCTCTGGTGAAATGGATTTTTTTTTTAAATGAGAGCAAAATTATAAAATGCACAATTACTGCTAGTCTTTCCATTCTTTCTTTTGGAAAGAGCAGGAAGATAATTGTTGGTGTTTGTGTGTTCCTTCTCTTTAATCTGGATCTTCTTTAGAATTTGACGTTTTGTGATGTTGTTGTGCAGGGGTGTAAGGGCACGTCTGGGACTGTATTAAAGTCCTTCTCTGGCAATATGATGAGGCATGTGATCTCTCTCATAATCTCCTTTATTTTTTTCATGTTTTTGTGAAGGTGCCCAAAGGCCCTACTGGCTATTTTGCAAGATGACATTTCACAGTACTATGGCTATATTATTATTGTTACTGTTATAATGAAGCCCAGATGATTTCTGAAACGCCTTGGACTTGAAACACTTTAGACTTACATTGAAGTCAATGGCAAAATCCCAAGGACATGGATACAAATCTGAGCTAGCCATCGTTGTATACCATCGTATTCATACATCAACACCTTTGGGACAGACCAGATAGACTAGTACAATGGTGCCAAAAGAGACCCGCAAAGAGGCCCCCTTATGGGTGCCCCCAAAAGTCTGATTGCCAGGTCCAGGAGCATCGATGGAATATGCACAGCATTTTGTATAAATTACGTGTATAGCTTCCTCATTTTCCCTTTTTCCTTCATTTAGGTGACATTGTGATATACAAGTTCCAAGACGCCGCTCTTAGATCTAAGTCCTTCACCAGCAAAATGACCCAGGAGCTATCATTGCTGTGATGCGCTCCCTGGTTTAGCAATTATTCTTTCTCCTTTGCACTGTAGTGAGATGGAGAGCTCCTTGAGCTAGCTGTGACTTAGCTGGCTCTGGACCAAGCTATCTAGAAAGACTTGTGGCAGCACAGAGCAAGCTTAGTGATCCATGTTAGCTATTGTTTCACAATTTAGATCAGAGCTACATAGCTTAGAGTAGCAGGTAGCTTCTGGTCTCTTCATTCAGGGAAACCTACATGCTCAGTGCAACTCCCAAACCACCCTGAAGTGCTGGGCGCTGCTGGGAGCTGTACTGCCCTCCTGCATTAGCTGGCAGCATGCTCACGGTGGAGCTGGCACTGGGAGACAAGTCACATCAGGCATGTCTTCTTCAAAGACATGAACAAAGAAATGAGGGTTTCACTGGGAGGAATGTAAGGCAGTGACTGATGTCAACTCGCTGCCGACCTCCATAACACTCCATCTACAATGTAAACTTACGCTGATAGCCTTTTGCTGGCTGCACAAAATCAAGTGCCCAGCCCTCCCAAGCCTGCTAGTCCAAACTCAGAAAGTCTCCTCAGAAAACTAAGTTTTTTTCTCACCAGATCTAGAGTGTTTAGATGAGGGGGGTTGTTTAGGCTTATCTTTTTTTTTTTATATTAGATGTTTTGTAGATGATGGATAGCATTAATCTGAGAGAAATGCAGGAAGATCCAAAAAATTACTAGCTTTAAATTATTAGCTTTAAATTATTTCATTTTTTATGAAAATAATATTCTTTTCCAGAATGACACAGGTGGCCAGCGTAGTCTTGTAAACAAGTGGACAACATTCTTGAAAGCGAGACTTGTGTGCTCAGTAATGGATGAAGATGGAACAGAAACATACTTTGACGAATTAGGTATGGCAAGAAAGTTTCTAAAAAGTTTTACCTAAATCCTGCACCCTGTGCATATTTAAGCATTAAAGTTCCCACAGTGGTATTTGGCCCTGAAGAGGTCCATGACAAACTTCCCCTTGGAGTTTTGTGACAGCAGATGAAAAATTTCTTCATGCATCTCTCTGGGTCATTAACATTATATCTTTGAAATAAAGATAATTAATCTTCACTTGGTAAAGAAGATATATGTAAGGAATTAATTTTTGGAAAGGAACATGTAGGTGCAGTCTCTTGTTATTTTTCTACTCTCTAGGATTATGATAGAGGCTTTGTAATGTATATCTCTTTGAAACTGTTTATTGTACCACTGCCTAACATACATCCTTTTTGCAGAACGTTTTTTCTGTTTTGGAGGCCTCTATTTGATGGCTCGAGCTAATACCATTAAATGTCATTACTGGCACTAGCAATATTACAATGAATAAATATAATTTCTTGGGATTTATTCAAACATTTACATCTTCAGTTGCACATGTGAAGCACTGAAGACATTCAGTGGCTAATCTATACAGCAATCACGTAAGGTTTCCTCTCAGTAAGGAATTAATTAAATGCAGATTTTGATCCTTAAGTGCCAAACACCATTATCAAAAAGTTTCAAACTCCGCATTCTCCATGGCTGGGATATACAAAGTCAGAGTTCTAAATTTAGGTGTTTGAAGATTTGTTATGTGTATTGGTATATATAAATATAAGTGTAAATATACAGATACATATAAATAGCTAATGAGCCCCACACTGGGGCTGCATCTGATTCTGACCTCTCCATTGTACTCCTCATCTATCTTCTGTTGCGTTATTCCTGATATTCATGGAAACAAATGAGGTGTAGAGTTTTTCTGACTTAGCATCCTTACAAATATTTGGTGTACTTGTTTTGGTTCATAGATTTCTATGGAACATAATGGGCATACAATCAGATCCTACTTTGATGTAATTCAGAACATATAAGGTACTTGGCCAACTAACGTGCAAAGACTCTTAAGCATCCAGCAGCTAATATTTCAGAGGTCCCGTTTGCTGGTCCAATCCTATTGAACAAAGCACTAGAACTGCTTAGTTTTTGTATGACAAAATATAGGATAAAATAGATATGAGATAGTATTCTTAGTATGATCTCCTAGCACAATCTATCGGCAAAGAGGAAGAATATTACCATAGCTGTAAATGCAGAAAAATCTGGGAGAGATCAAGGGTGTGATTCTGTTTTTACTTACCATGCAGAAGGGTATAACCCTACCAGTGTCGTGCAATGAAATCTTTTGGGTTTGAAATGTTTGAAAGAAGGCTTACAAATTTTGGAGACTTAATAAAAGATCCACATAAATTAATGGATGGCTTATCCAATGGTAAGAAGCTCAGACAGTTCAGCCTTTTTGTCTATTTGAAAGATGTTTAAGAGATGAGTTGGTTATAATTCATTAGTACCTTTATAAGGAGAAAATATAAGAGACCAAAGTACTTTTTCACTTAAGTATAACAAAAATAATCAAATCAGAGGTAAAGCTGGGTAAATTCAATCAGTAGGTATGGTTTTGCATAGTGAAGTTAATACATTCACACAGAATAGGAGCAGGGTTTTACACCTCTGTGACTTTACCATAAATATGTTTGTCATTCATATCCTGAGGTGTTTCTTAGTCAAATGTTGTCTAATGGAAGGGCATCTAGAGTATGTACAAGACGAAAAAACACCTAATTCTCCCAGTTTGGATTATATCCATCTATGGGAACATTTTGTCTTTGACCTACTGCAGCTTAAACATTTTCCTACTGTTAAACAACCTGCTGAAATGAGATCCAGCTGAGAGAAATAGGAGAAATGGATGCTGAACATATTTGAAAATCTTTGCCTTCTGTCTTCAGAAGGCTAGATAGCGTGTAGTTAGTTTCCAAATCTGCTTCTGACTATTCAAGTGCAAGGTTTCTGCATATGGCCCATTCATATGATAAGTTTGCTTTTTGTCATTCAAGTCAGAGACAAAACTACCATTCACTTCAGCAGGAATAAAGTCATTGTTTAGACTGGAAAATAAAATTAGCATAACTACTCAAAAACTATTTTTTTTTCTTTTTTTTTCTTTCTTACAGAGGATGTGTTTCTTTTAGAAACAGATAACCCCAGAACAACGCTTGTATATGGAATTTTTACAACATCAAGGTAATTGTGGAGATTTGAGAAAAGTACCTTTCAGACCAATTTTCTATATTTATACAAAAAGAGATGGTTTGTGGTCAAGATTGTTCTTCACCATTCTGTATGTCTCCTGTGACCAACCTTTGCATATAGGGATAACAGTTTCAATTATGAACCTGCAATGAACTTCTGTGACATCAGACAACACTTAACACTGCATAAAGAAAACCAGCACCCTGAAGGACCAAACCTAGAATTCTTAAAGCAGTCCATACCAAACATTGCCACTCTCTCAGCTGGCAGATGATCGCACAGATGGCAAATAACCCCTGTCAGTTGCAGGTGGCTGCAAAAAGGCAATCTTCTATTGCGTTTGGTCACCTCCTTCATCCGTTACAACTTGCAGCCTTAAGCTTCTTGTCATTAGTTAGCTGTTATTAGCTTTGTGGGCGGTTTAAGAAACACTCATTGACTCCCAAGGGCAGTGGAAGTACTAGATATGGCTTACTGCACTGAAGCTCCCCACAAAGATAGACCTGATGGACCTACAGATTCTGCCATCTCTACCTTTAATTTTTCAATTTTTTTCTTGTTCTCAACACATACTGGTAGCATACAGAAAGGGAAAAATTGCATCCTACTGGGTATACCACCCTGTATTATTTAGCTGTTATTATTTACATTCAAATAGAGCTTTTTTGTTTTTTTCTTTCAGTTTCATGCCATTTATTTGATCAAATTTGCATATTTTTAGACTCATCACTATAAATTCCTTTTATGGCATTTTCCATTTAAAAAATCCTTGCATCAAAAAGATACTTCTTTCCTGGCAGGCTTTTCTGTCCAGGATAGTATACAGGGATCCACATTCTCAGATGTGCGAACCAGCCAGGAAAGTATGAATTTATAATATTTAGTTGGGAAAAAAAGAATCCCATAACTTGTAAACATCTGGTGCTGTCTATATTTTGCGATTCATATTGCACAAAAGGAGAAAATGCTGAGGCTATGTTTAGCAGTAAAACCACACTTATGATTAGGTTATGGATGCAACATGTCTCAGTTGGAAACACTTTTACCTAATTCTCCTGGTATTCTCCTGCAGTGGAAATAAGGTCTGAGTCAAAGGACCATATAAGGTGGCAACAAAGAGAAAACTTGCATATTCTTGGCCCTCAAGCTATTTTCTCTCTCTATTGAAGTTTTAACACTCACATGCATTTCTGTTTTCAAACCACGCAGTTTACAGTTTATTTTTCTCCCTTTTTTTCTTTCTGACTGTAGATGTGTTACATAATTAAACACAGCAGTCATAATAAATTTTGCTCTCCAACATTTCCTTTATCTTCACCTCTGTAGACTTCTAGCTGAAAAGAGTATCAAGAAAAATATCTTTCCAAATAATAATGGTCATTAATTTTACCTAAACTATATTGAGGTAAACCGTGTAATATTGAGGCAAATTATTTTCATGGCATAATCTGCTGTAAATCTAGCAAACAGATCATCCAAAAACATTAAATACATTTTAAAAATCTATTAAAATCTACTAAAATTTCCACCAATACCATAATCCATCTAAAAGTTTCCTGCTGCTAATACATATAGAGCCAAGAGCAATGTTGATTCTTGGGTAATCTCCAATAGCACTTTCCTAACTTAGACGCTATGTCTTATAATTGAAAATTTGAACATTTAATATTTTCAGTTTTCTTCTTTAGTGATTTTTTCTTCTTCAATTGAACATAGAGAGGCTCTGGGACTGTCTTCATCCCACAGTTAATATCGGAGTTTCCACTTTGTTAAGATAAACATCCCAAACCTCTGAAAGAAGAAAGGAAGATTTAATTCCACTGCAGGCAGTCTTAGCATCACATTGGGAATTATTCCCCTAGTGCTCCTCATCGCAGGATGGCAGAGGCCATTCAGGGCATGTTCTGTCTGAGGAGGCATCAGAGACATCATTTCGGTGAACCTGAGGCAGTGAAAAAACAGGCCTTTCTCATAGGTGACGCCTCAGTTTCTCCTGAGGAAGATCAACCTTCACCTCTCCGGAAGGGATCTTTGTGAGACCAGTTTTGTGGGAGGCCTTTTGGAGTATATAGGAGTAATGCTCTTACAGCCACAAGCTGTCCCCATTTTGTTTAGAAAAGCTGGCAACTGATTATAACAAACTAACCGAGTGTAATTGCACTGGATATTTTGATTAACATTCTAGCTATGTATTTTAGAAGGCTTATGAAGGTCTTGTGGTTAATATATTGGTATGTAGTTCTGGAAACCTGTGCCTAGCTCGGCAGCAAAAAGTTCATAAAACCCTTGTCTCACTGAAGTCAGCAATATTTTTGCCACTGATTTAACTCAGGCCAGGTTATATTTCTTTTATATTCAACAGTAGGAAATCTTCTTGTTCCACCAGCGGCATATTACCTTCCTCCCTCCTTTTCCAGGTCAGTGTTTGAAAAGGGGCTCAGCCTTAAAGAGCAGTGCTGTATATTGGGATGTTAAATTAGCTGATTGTTAAATACATTGAATCCATGCTATGGAAGTACCAAATTGTATTAAACATGTTATATTAGAGGTATCTCTCATCACTGGACTATGCATGATAATGGACGAATTAGGTAAAAGATAGTAGATGAAAGTGCTAACTTTTTCTTACTGTCTTCCAGCTCCATATTTAAAGGCTCAGCCGTGTGTGTATATCACTTATCTGACATCCAGACAGTGTTCAATGGGCCATTTGCACACAAGGAGGGCCCAAACCACCAGCTGATTCCATATCAGGGCAGAATTCCATATCCGCGACCTGGCACTGTAAGTACAGAAGATGTTTACATAGCCCTACCAGTTACTTGTCTTTGTTTAATACATTAATAAATGTTATTTATTCAAGGAGAATGGACTGTACATGACTATGATGTTTAGTTGCAGTTCAGAAGAGTTCTGCTTGCCTCTCAGCTTGCCATACAAATCACCTAGTATCTGGAAATCGTCTAAAAAGAATTAAAAACAGTGCAAAATATTAAACTCTCTTGGTCTTTCTGCCTAAGAGGTTCTAATAATTATTTCATTAGGTGGCAATGGTATTTTTAAATGTGTACATTTACATTTTGTATGTAGGTTTGAGCAAAAGATAGCTAAAGAGATTAACATACAGAGACAGCATTGGGAGTTTGTGCGCTATACTCTAGATCCAAGCTTCTGTCTTCAGCGTGTATGATTTTCCCTAGTGCCTCGTAATTTTGTGGTTCCATCAGGACGCTGGAGAGCCATGGCAGGATGGCAGGGCTTCTGAGACTGTCATTTGACTAGGTCTAAACCCTGTCAGGTACTGAATATTAGAAAAGAGACATGGAAATAGAGGAGTTGTCATGCCAATCTGTTCCTGGTAGCCTCTCTTGGTAGGACTACTTTTTGCATCCCTTGAAAAATTTTTTTCACTGCATCATGGGTCATAATAATCATCTAATATATTCTGAAAACCATGAGAGCTAGCTTTGTTTTCAAGGTTTACAAAATTGTCCCAGGAAGGTTTTTAAACAAAAATGTGCAGGTTCCCCCACACACACTTTAGGATGTATTCAAATGTAGTGTTCATGTAGTTTTGTGTTTATTTATTTACTTACTTATTTACATGTTCTTAATTTAGATGTAGCAGAAGTACCAAGTCGAATATTTCCAAGTTTAGTGAAGACTGTGTGAAGTTTCTCTGGGATCGTCTCTAATTTCACATTTGCTAAAAGAAGTGTATCAATGTGAACTTTCATTGTTTCTCATAAAGTCTGGCAGTTTGTTATGTATTGGAATTAAATAAGTATTCATAAAAGCATAAATCAGCTCTCAACTATGTAGTTCTAATTTTGCTTCTTTTTTAGGTGAATGCTTTGTTGCTTTTCTATTCATCAACAAAGTTACATTTTGTTTTAGTTTGGAAGTCATTGCAAGAACTTGAAGCACATCACTATTTCATTCATTTTCTTCTTTGTGCTGTAGATTTTGTTCTTCTCTCTCTTTCTCCCTCTCTTGTATACTAATGCTCAGATGAACGCAATACCTCTGCCTGTTCACACAGTCCTTCGTTTTAGTCTATTTTCTACTGGCTGCAAGATTAGAACTTTGTATCCCCAGATCAATACGGGCATTCCACCAAGTACTAATGCTAGCATTCTTCTTTGCCATACAGCTCTAATCTCATGAGTTCACAGAGACTTTAAGTTTAAACTTTACAAAAATACAAAATAAATGGCCCATGTAAACAAGAAGTTTCATCCTCTAGAGATTAGTCACATTTCACAGTTTCTTGCTACTTCAGAATATTGTATTTGTATGTATTTTCTTCAATCACTGCCATGTTATTCTTGATTCACCTCATGGAGACTTACGAGGCAGTCCAAAGGGGCCTGAAGGAACTGGCCGGCACAATGGAAAGGGAAAAATAAAATTCAGATTTGGATTTAACATGGTGACAGGAATTACCTAAACTTTTTAGATATGCTGATGAGCTCTGAATTGGAAAAAAAATCTGAAATCATAGTTCACACTGAAGATAAAGGCAAAAGAAGAGTATATTAGATGTTCTAGTATCAGATAAAAAAGAACTAAGACCAGATAGCAGGCTATAAACATACCATTAATTGTGATCACAATTAAATCTCAGAGCAGAAGTTATGCACGTTGTTGAGGAATGTATATGATTTTTTGTCCAGCTGAAACTCTTTTGGGTTTAGCTTTGGTTTTTTTCACTGCCAAAAAGTTCCTCTGTTTTCCACATAGAGCAAATTCTTTTTCTCACTAATGTCAAAGCATATGTGAAAATCAGGATATGTATGTTTAGGTACTTATAAGATGTGCTCAAAGGCTTAACTTTGAATACCCCAGCTTGAAGACTATGGGGCAGGATCCTCTTTCTTCTGGAACATATGTGCTGGGACACTGGACTAGACAGGGATGTATTTTTATATAACATGGAAAATCCTACTTTACAGTTACCTAAAGAGATATGCATACTAAACCATTAGACAGAAGTGAACGTTCATTGGGTTGTCATACACTGGATAAACACTGAAAAGGCTTCAGTATAGCTTCAGTAGAATTAAATAAAGCAATACGTTCATTTGGCCATAATCAGCTCTGCAGTGTTTGGCTGGCTTTCATTAAATACCAATGGTTTCTTATTTCTCCACAAGCTAAACTTACGGAAAAAAAAAAAAATTGCATAATTGGCAGTTTCCTGCTAAGTTCAGTGATGTTTGAGGATAGTTTCCATTTTTCAAAGTTTACAGAAATAGTTTTTGTACCTACGGCATGTCGTAGAATATACTGTAAATTAGAGGATTCTGTTTCTCTCTGTAATCTAACTGCACAGTGATCAGCTGTGTACAAAATCCTTGTGTAGCTGAGGCCTTGAGTGAGGTGTGAAGGAAGCACTTTCAATCCCTCCAGGAAAGGGATAGCTTATAGGGTACTCCAGTAATACCTTTTGGTTTGTACTGGTTTCTATTTGAGCTATTACACAGAACATAGCGAATGAATGAATGGGTTAAAGAAAGTTTCCAAGAACTTGCTCAAAACAACCACATAATTAATGTTTGCATCTGAGTTGTTAGGGGCGCACTGGGGTGAACCATAGCACAGACATTTGGTTATGCAGGAAATCACAGGCAAACATCTTAGGATCTCCATATCAAGAGTGGAGGGAGGATAGATGATACCGGAGAAATTTTTCTTTTAATTGAGCTATTGGAACAAGAGAGTTTAATCTAGTCTGCAAGTGAAAAAGAACCACTCCGGAGCTGGAAGTGGAGTCAAGCAGACAACTATCGGAAAGAATAATCTTGCTAATAGCCCCCAAAATTATGAATACAGCTTCTGAGCACTGATTGCTCTCTGAGTCTGGGGTGAGGCTGAAGTCCCCTCTCTACTTGGTTCCCCATATTGCCGAATAAATAGTTAATTAAGTGCACAAAATGGAACAGCTTTTTAGCGGTGAGGGTAAAATTGACACTCCTGCCTAATGGTTAGAGGGCTCCCCTGGGATGTGAAGACACAGTTTCTAACATTTGCTCAAATCAGGTAGGGTTGGACACATGACTCATATATCCCAGTGAGTTTGCTAGTCTCTCAGAGTATGATTCATCTTATGTAATTTTAGCCATCTAAAAGCAGGGCAATCTAGTCTGAATTACTGACTATAGAGGAAACCTAGATGGCTAACTAAGAATAAATGCCTGACTTTAAGACAGCAGAAGTCAGGTGAGGTGAATCTCTCCCTGAGCTAATAGCTATTTCTGTGTCTGTGGTTTTGACCAGAAATTTCTTCCTAGACCTAAGAATTGTCCTCACTGAAATAAACACATTTCCATGAAGTGTTTCAGATTGGACAAATCAGCATTTTCCAACCAGAAAAATATTTTATTGAAACATTTCTGTATAGCTCTAATATTCTGAGGAAACGTTCATGGCTTGGAAATCTAGTAAGGGGGAAAATGGGAGCTCAGGAGCATCAATGAGAAGTGGGATAATAGTGGCTGAAAAAGTCATGTAAATTAACATCAGTTTATCCAGCATAAAGGAGCAGTTCCTGACATCGCACCTGATTTCTTTTCACTCTGTCTACTTTTAGTTTCCCTCTCACTGACCTGAGCTTTCTAAGACTGATTTTATTTCTTTATGAAGTCCAGAAGGCCTCAGGACTAAAAAGTAAGATGATTCTTTATTATAGTAAAAGAAACATCTAGAGTACTCACGGACCTCTTTTATTTTTCACTGTGTACATGGGGAAATGATAGAGAAGATCCTGTGAATGATCAGCTTTCTTAGATACCAGGTAGTTGAGATGGCCCCCCATCTTCAGGCCTCTAATTTTACTTTTTCAGTTGAAGACGAGTCACAGGCTATTTCACTGTCTCATAATCAAAATAATGGAGAAAATAAGTAAGCTAAATCATGATAGGTCCTTAAAGTCTTTTCTGGCTGGAGCGATATTGACAAAATTACAATTGGACTATTGACTTTACCTTTTGGCCTTGTGCTAATTCTATATAACCATCTGCAAAAGTTTGGTATCTTCCCATACGAATCACTTGGGTTTTTTTCAACAGGCAGCATATGGAAGTATAAGGAATGTGGAAATAGGTCCGGAAGTATGGATCTTTGCCATCAACTTGGATTTTAATAGTGTAAAAATATGTTTGCATTTGCTGTATCTGAATCGATGGGAGTTCAAAGCATAGCTATTCAAGTACTTCCTTCCCATTATTGGAATATGATTATTTTCAGATAGAGTCTGAAGTGCTTTTTCAGGAACTTTGTCAACTATCTGTCAATATTTGTAAATGGCTTGGAGATGAAAATTCCCTGATAGATGGTAAATATTATTAAGCATTACTGTGCATGTTTCTACAGTGTCCGGGAGGAGCCTTCACGCCCAACATGCGGACAACCAAAGAGTTTCCAGACGATGTTGTGACCTTCATCAGGAATCACCCTTTGATGTTTAATCCCATTTACCCGATCCACAAGAGGCCGTTAATCATTCGGATAGGAACAGACTACAAGTATACAAAGATTGCTGTGGACCGTGTGAATGCTGCTGATGGAAGATATCATGTCTTGTTTCTTGGAACAGGTAAGACAAACTTAGCAACAGTCATTTTCCTATACTGCATTATAATTTGCAATCAACTCCAATCTGTGCAACTCATTGCCTTCAGAAGTGTTTGTGTAGGCATTTTCTCTATTTACAAAAAGGTCTACAGATATCCACAAATTATGTTCTCTATTTACTTTCTGTGCATTTTATGTTCCCTATAGATCTTAATCATGTGCAAGAGATATAATACATCGACATGGTTTTTATTGGAGACAGAAATCAACACTAGTGTGTACTGTATTTGATAGAAATTATAATGTTCATCCTAAATATGGTTTATCTGCAATGTGATTCCACTAGCGTTATTGGAGTATGATGCTCTCTAACTTGAGTAAGAAGACCAAAATCTGACTTTGTATTCTTTCATACACTCTCATCATCATTATTTAATATATGCTGTGTAAGCTACTTCTGAAGAAAAAGACAATCTGATCAGCATGTTACAAAGGCAGAAATAACAACTTCACATGAAAAGTAAAAATACGGAAGTATTTAGTAGAGGAAAAAGGAACAAATAGTTGGAGGTCCAGCAGTAGTGGGTGCACAGAATTTGATCTAAGGGTTCCAAAATCATTTCTTTCTAGTATAACCTCCGTTTTGTTTTTAGTTGCATCAGATTTTAATCTGATGTTATGCTTCTGAAGTCTGAAAGGAATAGGTCAAGTGATTCTCATACTGATCAAATTTTATTTTTCAAAATATTCCGATTCCAATCACACTCTCCTGACTGAAGCAGACAAGCAGAGTAGTACTCTGGCTAGACCCTAGGATTCATTCACATCTGAAACATCCACTGGCTTAACAGAGCGTGATAGGTTGATAGGCACAAAAGTTTCATCACTAATCCTTTACTACAAACAATTTCAAGTAGAACAAAGGAAAAGAATTCCAGGAGAATAAATATATCTCTAAACATCAGAAAATAGTTACCGAGATAGCTCTCATTACTTTTATGCTTCACATACTATTGGGAACCTTGTTGTTTTCTGCTTATGGAATAACCATTTCTGCCAGCACACTCACCTTGTAGTCTCACGGGGTTGTGATTAACCATCCTAATATACTAGATTTAAGAAGCTGGTGCTAAAAACCTTTGAAGAATATCAGACTTCTGTAAGGGTGGGAGTAAAGGAAATTCTCTTCATTCTTCTTAAAATACACTATCCAACCAGCAAGGTCAGCAGGGTGCCCTTCTGTTGAAGAAGGCCAATCTCATACTGGGCCATATTAGCAAAAGTGGATCCATCCAGCAGGTTGCCAGAAGTGATTCTTCCCCTGCATTTGGCACTTGAGAGGCTGTGTCAGGAGTATTGTGTCCTGTTTGGGGCTTCCCAGTGCAAGGAAAACATTGACATAGTGGAACCAAATTGGGTAAAGGCCACCAAACTATTCGGAGGGCAAGATCACATGACATATGAGAACAGGGTGAGGCAATTGGCCTTCTTCAGAGAAGGCTAAGGGGACGCCTTATTGCTGTCTACAACTATCTAAAGAGAGGCACAGAAAAGACAGAGCCAGAGTCTTCTCAAAGGTGTGCAGGGACAGGTGACAGGCAATGGACACAAGTTGAAATGTGGGACATTCCAGTCGGATAAGGGAAAATGTTTTCACCATACGGTGGTCAAGCATTGGAACAGGGGCCCAGAGAGGCTGTGAATTCTCCATTCTTGGACATCCAAAGGACTCAAAACCCAACTGGACAAAGCCCTGAGCAACTTAGTCTAACTGGACCTGCTGTCAGTGGGGGATTGCCCTAGATGACTTCCTAAAGCCTGTAGGAAAACAGAAACTCTGTGTTCCTGTGTCCAACCTTTACCAGCTCTCCATTTACGGTACTGTGAGTCATGGTTAGTGCACAATAGGGCGTTGCTATGATACAAGAAGTTCTAGGTATTGAATTACAGTAGGAATATGGTCGTTTTTTGGTCTGAGGATATTTGTTTTCTTGGCTGCCAGTTGCTAAATTAATTTTAAGATGTCTTTGAAGACCTCTTTGATCCTACTTTTACTTGCAAAGTTATTGGAAACCACCCAATTAAGCTAATGAGGAAAAAGCATTCTTGTTGTCTGTACCCTCTCCCCCCCAACATGTAACCACATTTACTTTTTAGTTGAATGAATACAGCTACAGTTCTTGATTTTTGAATCAATTAGGGTCATATTCCTCCTTTCCTACAGAAATGGAGAAAAGAATCTTTGTAGCCTACTGCAGAAATATCAGTGTTAATAGATATTGCCCCTGCTATTCTTACACAGCTCTACAAGAACTCTACCGTAATAAGAAAGACAATTTAGGTTTATGCGTTTCACCAAATAAATAGTTTGGAGTGCTATAACAAATCTTCCAGATGAAAATTTAAGTATTTTTTTATATACTGATGCCGTTGTTCTAAAATGCTATATAACCATCTGATGTTAATGGGAGGAAAATTCTACTAAAGATTATTGGAAAAGATAAGGCATATACATTTCCAACTATTATAGGATTTTTAATGTAGTAGTGACTGTTAATACTGGAATGTGATAAATATGAAATACTCATGATAAAGTACAGTAATGATATCCAGCATTTCAGTAATTTTTTCCAGCTAAAAATTGTAGAATATTTTCAAAAATTAAGTCTAACAAGTGATGATGCTGCATGGAGAAGTGTGTGTTTTAAATACTGTATACTCCAGATAAATATCTATTGAAAACAAGCATGTTGGATAAAATTCAAGTGAACTCTTAAATATTGATTGATAATTAATTGATAAATTACCTTTCATAAAATCCTACTGCAAAAGATAAATATAAGTCATTTAACTTTATAGTGTGATTAGCCTCTGACTGTGGTTAAGTGAGCAGCGTGGTCTCATATATATACCAGTGGTTCATTAAAAGCATTAACATACCTCAGCTTGCCTCTATATTTTGCTAATCCTCTTCTGTGTATCAGCCCAAGGTCCATTATGGGTAAAAATAGGTAAACTGCCACTCCTGAAATTGTACAATATTTGTTGCTTTTAACTTCTGGATTACACTGGAGGCAAGGATGGTGGCTTGCTCTCTTGTTAGTCGGGGCGCAGTAGTCACTATTTTTTTCTGAGTAGGGCACAGAGACTCCCTGGGACATTAACAGCTTCCAGGTTCTTCAGAATGAATTGGTGCAAGTTACTCTATTTCTCAGCCCTTTTAAATAAAAGTGATCAGATTTCAGTCACTGAGAAAAGAAACTTATTTTATTTATTCTGTGCCTTCTGTGAGACTCAAGAGGATTTGATAGAGATATTAACCGTCAGAGCGGGTGCCGAAGGGATTTGCTTTGGTGTCAGTTCATCCTGGAAAATGCAAAAACTACACTGTACAGGAGAATGTCATGTGATAATTTCCCTGGGAGCCGGGAGGCCCACAGCCGCAGACAAGGGGACTTGACACCCGGTGACAATTGCGCTCGGCTCTGCTGATGAGTTACTGCTGCCGAACTGAGATGTTGCCAGCCATGTCTGTCACTGTCAGTGACCTGTCTCATGCTTGAAATCGAAATGTTTTATGTCTTGCCAGATGCAGAGCGCACAAAATGTTCAGCTTTTCCTCTCGTCCTCCTCTATAGCCTCCGTAATAAATCAGTTCCTGAATGCAAGGGAAGAATAACAGTAGTATGAAGCGCTAACAACCCCGGCGGGTTTCATCATGTAGCCATGGCACAGGCGGGCACAGGCAGCTGTGTCATTTTTTCACATTAACGTGAACTAAATGTAGTGTTTCCTTTGCGCCCCGCCAGACAAAAGTGTTGAGCTCGCAGGGCCTGGTCCATGCCGAGAGTTAATATATTTGTTTTTTTCTTCCCTCTCTCGGCTACATAGCAAACAAAATAAGTCCCACCGACAGACATTGTTCTGGCAGCGTTCCACACAGCCTTGCAGATGATAACGATCTCCTGTTTTCTCTGTGCTTTTCAACCTGAAGACTCCTAATACATTTGGCAAAACTTGCCAGTTTTCTTAAGTCTATTCAAAGTCCACCCAAAAAGGAATCTCTTCACCCCGCCAAAAGAGAGCTGATTTAAAGGAGAAGAGCGGCGATTCTTTAACTGTAGATAGCTATAGTAAGTGCTGCAAGAGGTGAATGCTATATACTCTGTCTTCCCAAATAGAAACCAGAGAGAGAATTTACTTGGATACAATGTAACGACTCATGTCCATATCTGACAAGGATAGCGCTGGTGATACCTTTTCCCTATGCCATGAGTAAGAACATATTCAGGTCAGGAATTTGGGTTTAAGAGTTCTGCTTCATTTATCCTGTTTCTGTGGTAGGCCAGGATTCAGTCATAAAGCACTTTTTATTCACCCTGGAATTTTACGTTAATCACTTTACTCAGCTTAGTTATATCAAAAGAAACCAAGCTTCCAACTTTTTTTCAGTTTATTCTTTAGTAGATTGTGTTCCGTTTGGGTTTTAAGAACAGCAGTAAAGCAGAGTGAGGACATTTTCCTGAGATTAATAGTTATTTTTTAAGCATGCCACCTACTGCTTGCAGTACAAAAGCCTTTGGTCAAAGTACACCCAGATTGCACAACCGTAAGACCGTGCTTTTTTTTTTTTGTTAGTTGCTCTTGGAGTTATGAAAATATTTAAATGTCTGGGTCAGATCTGGGTACATTCAACAGCCACTGGCACCATTAAGAATTTTTTTCAGTTCCTAAACATCAAGATAGGAGATGGGAATATGCTTTTTTGTAAAGAGATCTAAGTTATTGTTATGAAAAGGGACTTCAGATTTCAATGATGTGGTTTATCCAGATGATTAATGTGGGCCACATGCATCTGATGTTGCATGAGGTTGATTGATGTTTCTTATTATCTTTCCATCTCTGGTGCAATCCTCAATTTCAAAGTCTGGATACAGTAAGTGCTTTCGGGGCATAAGATTGTAATGTTGTGTCACATATGTGACTAAATCCCAAGCATATTCGTTTCCTGCTGTTACGTGATGGCTATCCTTTTGGAAAACTAACCCTTGCTGACAACAGCAGTCTCCAGTAATGGAATAGACAAAATCATGTAATGAGCTACCGATTCTAACAGCGATGGAAAATCTGGTCGGCAGAGCGGGCTTGCCTCCCACAAATTCACTGTCTATAACTATGTATCTGCAAGCTTGGGAGAACGGTGTTACGCAACAGTGACACAACAGGCTGCAGACAGAGTTTCCTTCTCCTTTTTACACGTACTGGGTGAGTCATTCAAAAATTTTTGGTGATCAACTCATCCGAAGCTTTTTCACAGCCATTTAAGAAGCCATCTAAAGAGGGCTTTTCTACCCCTGTTTGGCTGGTTACTCTGGTTCAGTTTTTATTCAGATAGACTCTCAGTGTGTCCCAGAAGTTTAACTGAGCTGTGGCTAGGTGAAAGTTTCGCCATTAAGCATCAGTTTATCATATGCTTGTACCTGCCTTTTTGCTTTTTGATATAGCTTGAAATGACTTTACAACCAACTGTTTGCAGCAACTCAATGATCTGGAAAAAATTATACCCATTATATAGACAAGTAAACTAAAGCACAGGGAAGATAAGTGGCTAAGATGAGTTTGAGCAGACACAAGGCCAGAAGAGACCCGAAGAGCTGGCTCGCAGCCGTAGCTGCTAACCTGCCAGAATCGCAGATGCTTTGGTGTGTCTGAAAACTTTATTAAGTGGAGCAATTTTAAGCACTCTGGAGATGATTTTCTTTCTTTTTTCTTCGTTATTTTATTTGTTTAAATCAGGCTTGAGTCAGATTGGAGACCAAAAATATGCTTGCTTCAGTTGCCATCCGTTGTCAGGTACAAGGCGAACAGTTTTCTAAGGGTGCTGCAGAAATCTGCCTGACACAGCAGGGGGGGGGATTACCACAGGAGGCCTCCCTGCAAAACTCCCAGCGGAAGAGCAGTTGGTGTCCATTGCAGGCATTATTTTTAGGATGTGGAAAAGCCAGTTTCTTTCATTTGTTGTTGATTTTGCATATGAGCTATGGCTCAGGGATGAAGGGGGCCCTCGCTTTCACTGAAGCTGACAATACCGACAGTTAACCTTACTTTGGACTGGGGTGAGAAAAGTTAGTAGAAATTCAGAGAATGAGATTTAAACTCACTCAGACCTCTGTATTCCAGCCTAACACCTGTGTATTTTACCTTGCTGTTCATTAAGCTTTGCCTTTTCCATTATCCATAGCCAGCCGGCCCGCGAATTGCTGTAAGCAGGCATAGTTCAGCTGATGTTGAGGAAACGAAGCTGACTAATACCAGCCCGGGACAATGCCCTGTGTTTTGAGGGTTTTTTGGTTCAATTTTTTAAGTTTGTCTCACATTCTTCCTTCCCCGGACACTGCCTTCCTTTGCCGTTTATTTTGCACTTTGTGTACCCTTTACTCCACTTTTTAGCCTTTTGCTCTTTCTGCCCATGCCGTTCCCCAGTGCTCATGGCAGGATGTGATCTCAATAACATTCCAGCTCATGGTGCGCTGGGAGCCCGCAGGTTCAAGCAGGTTTGAAACACAGAAACAGTCATTATTAGTCACCTTTGTCACCTTGCTGTCAGCTTGAGGGAGATTCCTTCTCATTTGCCATTCCCCTCTTGACCCGCAGACTGCTGGGCTGCGGACAGGTCCACATGAAAAATCAGGGAAACGGGGAGCATACCACTTCACTTGGTACGTTCTAGTGTTGGATTGCTACTGAGGAGACACAATAGCTTTTTTCATGACTATGTGAAATCATAACAGTGTAAAACTGTTTTCAACAGAATTTCTTGAAGTCACAAGTAAACAGAGAAGGAAATTGTCCCTTTTACTCTATGACTTGAACAGGATTAGCTTATAATGTTACACTTTGACCTAAATGTGAAAAAATCTGACTTATACTTGTTCAGTGATCCATTATGTCTGGCTCACAACACAAAAGATTATCTATTGTGAAATATGCTAGGAAACATCTCAAGCACTGCAATTTTGCATGTATCTCCTGTGCGCAATACTGCGTGCTTTCCAGCCTTCCTTTTGACCTGGGAATTAAGTCTTCTGCCTTGCCATTAAAGGAAATAAGCAAATCAGATTTTCAACAAAACTCAGATATAATGTAAGCCTGCTAACATGAACACATAGAAGTGCCTTGATTCCACAGCTACTGTGCTTATAATGGAGTCCTCAGTACTACTGAGAAAGGAGTAGGAAGAGTTTTCTAGGCACAAATATTTGTCCTTTATTATCAATGAAAAGACTGAACAACAGCAGAACAACTATTTTCAAAAGAGGTGAAAGGTTATAGTCTACAAGGCAGGTGTTATTGGAAGCACACACACACACACACACACACACACACACACAGAGATATATGCATTTATATGCAGACTATTGGAATTGCTTGCTTTAAGTGGTTTTATTTAATGAATAGCTTTCTATTGCCTGCTTTCCCTAACATGAATACTTATTTAAAATGTTGCACTACATTTGCTCGTTCCTTTGCAACAATGGAACATTCAATTTTGCAAGAATCTGTCCCTAATGGTAAAATACTGAGTTGAAAGGAATAGATTCCAAGGTAAACAGTTGTTAACTCTGTGTGTTTTTCCAGGGTGTGACAAAAAGGGAGATAGGAGCCTAGTTTTTAAATGGAAAAGGTTGGTAGGATACAAGGACTTGGCGTCAGGCACTATCAGTGTTTTCTGTGCCATTGTCCAGAATGTAATCTTACATCAGGTTCTGATTTTGGTTGAGCAGTGAAGACAATTTGGGAATCTTAAATGTGTGGCATGAACGAATGGATTATTGAAAGAAACCGGTTTTTCTGAGGCTCAGCCTCACACTCCGTTGCAGGTAAGGTCACTGTCAACCATGCTTTGTACCCTGCAAGTTATGGTCACAGGTAGTTAACACTTTGCAGCCAGCTGAAAAAATCACAGCAGGCTGCAACTCCTTCCCTGCACTGCCGATAGGCCATTTCAGATGGTACGGTTTAGTGGTAAAGAGAACATTGATAAAGGCAGGCAAAGAAGGAGAAGCAGATTGCACTTAAGCAGTGTAAATTTGTGAGTAGGTGATTTCTTTTAGCAGAAGCAGAACGACACATACACAAACATGCACACGCTTCTCCTTAGCTCCAAATACAGAAGGATCTGCAGCAGTTTAAAGCTTCGGTGCGTCCTGGCAGTTAGTAAATCTCTTTCAAGTTCTCATAGGTTTGCTAATAGTGGCACCCAGTCTAGACCACAGCTGTGTTATCACAAGATTTCGTTTCAGTAAGGTTTCTTTGGAAGGAACTGGTTTATCGTGCCATCATACAATGAGAATAAATGTTCTCCATAGAACAAATTCTCATGCAAAATTCATGCCTAGTGTGCCCAGAGAATGTACAATTGATAACTACACATTTTTAAACCTCGAAAGCTTTCAATTTCTCTTTTCCTTTTTTTCTTTTTTAATAACATACTACGGCAATGTGCTCTGTTTGTGTGGTCAGGTCATTGCATATGAATATTCTGGCTGTAATCCTTTTTTTTTTTTTTAAGAAAGTGTATGATTATTTGCTACCTTCCACCAGGGAAATAAGATGTAAATTATTTACTATAACCAACCTGCCCTGCAGCTCCAGCTATGGAATTTAGTCACTGACCTTAAAAGCAAAAGCAAAACCACACTTTTTCAGTTTACTTTGTCAACATCATGAATTGCCAAACGGGAAGCTGAGATTTCCTTTCCTCAGTCACGAATTCATAAAAATACACAGAAATACTTACATGTATTGTGCTGTAGTAATGTTTTACTAACCGCACAAGTCTATGTTGCTCATAAAACTTATGAAGGCAAAACAGAATCTGTACCGTGTGGTCTCATTCCTCAGAATCAATACTGAGCAAATTTATTCTACTCCGACTAATTTCCCGTCCTTTCAGACAAGAAGAATTCTTTTTATTTTGCTTTTTCCAAGTAAAAAAAGACTCAAAAATTAACAAATAAAATTGCTGTCTTTGTTCAGTATCTTAATACCTCATACCTGTCCCCGTGATTTTTCACAGTATGCCTTTTCTGTCGCATCAGAAATATTTGAGTGCGCCTCAGCCTTTGAATGCCTTCACAAATTGACCCTTCCCTCTCTTATGTTCTTTTAACATAACAAGTTTGGCAAACTAATCACAAATATCCCTTTAGAGATACTCATCACATCTTCCGCGCAAAAACACTGCCGTTTCCCCATCTGTCTTACTTCTACTGCAATATCCCTTTCAAATTGAGTTGATTTGGAGGGGTGAAAACACAGGGCAACCACAAAAAAGTATCTATAGACTCTTCACCATGTCTCTCCTGTCTTCAGTGGACCAAAACCAGTAACTCCTACCGCTGTGTAAAGGACTTATTGTTCGAGTTTTCTGAAAAAAAGGCTTTCTTCTTACCTTTTTAGGGTTACACTGAGTTAGTCTTTGGAATTTTTACCTTTCAGGTCACCAATTGTCATTACATTTTATTAATGAATATGAATGTATATTGAATTCCACAGTAGCTCATTTTTGCCTGTTTATCTGGCCATGTTTTTACTTTAAGATGTTTAGGGTAGATATTGCCTTTGTCTGTGTCTCTGTACAGCACCAAATACCATTTTTGATTGGTCTTTTGGGGGTATAATGATAAGCATAATGGCAACTCCAATCTTGACTTCCTCAAGATCATATATGAGAATAATACTGTGTATAGTTATGGTCAAGTTATCCGCAGTCTATGACTTATAAAGGGATCACCTTATGGGACTTTCTGACCTCAAACCCTAGGAATTAATAAACATCTTTTCATACCATTCTGTATGTTATAGTGTTTACTTTGGTGTGTGTGTGTGTGTGTTTTTAGTTGCTAATGATTCACCTGCTCTTTTTTTTCCCTCTGCTCTCTGTCACATAGTCTCACTTTTTCTCGTCTTTTCCAGACCAAGGAACTGTTCAAAAAGTTGTTGTCCTACCCACTAACTTCTCTGCAAGTGGAGAACTCATTTTAGAAGAGCTGGAAGTTTTTCAGGTTTGGCTTTCTCCTGCTTTTATTCTTCCAGTGTGTATGCTCATACAAACACTTTGTTCTGAAACACTTGGCAAGGGCAACTATGACTTAATAAAAGATCAAGTGAATGTACATACTGTCAACTTGATACCCTCCCAAGGAGGAATACAAAATGTCTACTGTTATGAAGACCATAAAGACCATAGCTAGGCTGAGATCTCTTTTCCCTTTTTTTTTTTTTTTTTTTTTTTTTGTTATCCTGGCTAGGATTGTGATAATCACGTTTTTAAGAGGTCTTGTTATAGTGGCTGCCAGAAGGAGGTTTTCATCATTGGCATCACATGGTGAGACTGTCACTATTTACAGAAGGAATCTAAGATTTTTCTACTACTTTTGATTATCTGATAATCTTTCTGATTCTGGCCTGCAGAATTGAAGCGAAGTAGTGTTATTTTTGCTTAACTCCATTTCTTCAAAGCCACATGTCTTTGAAGTCAAAAAAGCTACAAGCTTAATACAACATAAGCTGAAAAGAAACATAAACAGCTATGGGCAAAAATAACAAAATAGACTCTGTCAATCATTCTAGCATGTAGCAGCTTGTAATAATCTAAAGGAAATGTTCACCTTCATGTTGAAAAAGCCCTTTCAAGTTTTTGAATGGGCTATTCTTTAACAGGTAATCTCAGGGAAAATGCTGGTATGCATCTGTAAGCTTAGTTATTAATTTTGTCATGGGCTTTTTTTGTCAAGCTCAGGGGATAGGAAAAAGGAAGTTTTATGCCTTGCTATCTAGACGAGCATCAATAACCATTTCTCTATGAATGGGAATAGTCTCTATATTAACCCTTATAAAGGCATAAGCACTCATTCTAGATCTGTGTTGAAGACTTCCCTTTAAAAAAGATGTGCGAGTAATACTATGTAAAGAGTACCATTCACCCAAGTATTACTAATTCCCTGTACAGAAAGGTAAACTAATACAGTAAGCAGGTGGGTTGGATGGGAGGAATCCTGACCCTGAGCCTATTTTCTGGATCTCTATACAGAGACTTTTTTATCCTAAACCCTCAGAATCATGGCATTGTCACCTATGCCATGGCAAGCTATACAGCTTGGTAGAGTATACAGGTAGGGTGGCAGTATGCTGATGACTTTCTCTGAGAGGGGGGGAATGAAATCCCCGGCTTTGTGCTGGTAAATATCAAGAGCAAGCAAACACGGATTCCTTTCTAGAGTACAAGCAGGGAAAGGAAGATGTGCCATCAGATCCAATATTGAACTTGAGTCTCCCAGCTGATGAAACACTACAGCAACTCTAAACCCCTTCAAACCTTTACCAGTCCATGCTAAGACGAGCTGCAGGCAGATCGTCTAGTTCTTGCCTCCTTGCTGCACTGCCAGCTCACTGCAATTAATCCTGGCCCATCTTTATGGCTTTCCTTTGTGACTGAGCAAATGCTAATCTTCAAAAAATGATGAACATTTTTATTACCATTGCTTTTATCAGTTGTTTTCATGAGAATAGTAAATTGTTTCAGTTTCTGAAGGCAGTGAATGTGATAACTCCTTTTCAAGCTCTTTAACATTCGGTTTGGACACAGACAGTAATAGACTCCAGTAATGACATACAGTAGTATACAGGACCGTCTGTCTGAAAGAAACATTTGCTCACACACACACCATTTTTAATATACAAGTCATTGATAAACTGAAAGTATGTGTTGGATGGCAACCAAACTGTATGCACTGTAGATAATGTGTAGAAGAAATATGACATATTCTTATCGTGACCGTGTGGGAAATACGCGTGAGCTATTGTATGATTTTGCCATACCATCAACTTCAAAGAACGAAGATGGTTTCTTATTTTAAAGTGAGAGTGATCGCTTAAAAATACATATTTGTCCTGTATTGGTGAGGTAATATAGATGTAGTTTAACTTGACGTGTACAGAAACTTGTTGATATACCTGATGAATAATAATAACACAGTTTAATTCAAGCAATACGTTTAGTGAGATATTCATTGTATTTACATCATTTGTTTAGCTCTGAAAATAGCAAGAAACGGGTAGCAGTGAACGAGGCTTCTCCAAGACATGCAAAGTTACAGTTTGCTTAGGTTTGACGTAGGTCAGATATAGGTTTTATCAAAATTTATAACATAAGTTTTATCACATTTCAATTTTTAATTTTGGGACAGTATTAATAAGAGAGTCTTTATAAGTATGATTTGAAATTTTGTCTTTCAGAGTAATTCTCCAATAACAACAATGAAGATTTCATCTAAAAAGGTAAAGTGAAATGTTTACTTAGTGCTTATTAGTTGAGAAAAAAAATTTACCTAAAGACACTAAAAGATCACTTGTGATGCATCATACTAAGTACAGTTAGGAGATTTTCAGCTGATGAATATGAGAAATCTCACTGAAGTTTATATAATCTGTCCCAGAGTCACTAGATTTAAACATTTTTTGTTCATTATTTGCTATTTGCAATTCACTGAAATTGTCTTTTGGGGGAGAGGGGGCAAGTGGAAAAAGCACTATGTGATGAAACTTGTCCTCCTCATACCTATATAACTCGTAAATTGAAATTTTCCCTTGGAAGTCTGGTCTATGCAAAAAAGACCATGTTGGGACTATGGTGAAATTGTGCTTGCCTGATTAGTTTGAAATAATGGTGGCAATGTGATTGGTCATAATAGCCAAGAGGGTTCTTACAGAAATGGTCAGCAACCAAGCCAAAACTTAACTAAAAATCTATATTCTGTGATTTTACAAAATCATGAACAAGTGAACACTACTCAGTAATCTTTAGTCAGTGTAATGTGTTAGTTTTGTCACAGAACGATATGGGGAGTTTCTAAGTTTTTTGTGCAAGATTTTCTGTTTTTAGAAGTATCAGTTAATTGTTTCAAAATAAAAGAATCACTCTGGCCCCAATTCTGATGATGTCCTGTTCACTTGAACGTCCTTTGCAAAAGCTTTCACTTACCATAACAATTCTGTTGGCTCGCTCTTCAAGATACATAAGGCTATCAGAACCTGGCCCTAAACTCCAACATAATCTCTAGGTTTTATGTCTTGGAAATCTACGCACAGCTGAATCCATCTAGGAGCTCTGCAAAGTATTTACAAAAGCGACTATATGCAGAGAAAATGCTTAGTTCAAAGGCTTGATCCAATAATCCTCGCTGAATAAGAACCACGTTCTCAAATCTGAACAGTATTAACTCAGTCTGTCTGCCCCAGAACCGAACAATGACACTCAATGTCCAAAAAAACATTAACATTCCTCCGTGTTTTCCAACAGGATGGTGGAAATATTATAGGCCTATTCATCTGGGAGGTTTCTGTTTATTTTAGCTTTATATGTATTAGTGGTTCCTCTCTTGGTATTGAGTTATTTCCAAAATTAATTGAAAGGTTTTTAGGTGTGTTGGCTGCGTCTTGGGTGAAGCCCCTCCACAGAGTTCCACATCTGAAACAAATCTTTCCATTGCCTTGTGCAGCAACAGTTGTACGTGAGCTCGGATGAGGGGGTCACCCAGGTATCCTTGCATCGCTGCCATATCTACGGGACCGCCTGCGCTGACTGCTGTTTAGCCCGAGATCCTTACTGCGCCTGGGACGGCAATTCCTGCTCCAGGTTCTACCCCACAGGGAAAAGGTGAGTCAGTATTAAGCAGCCCGATGAAGTCTGCAAGGAAGGTACAGGGATTTTGTTCTGTTATGTAGCCTGGGGCCATGTGATATGATAGAGAGGTGAGATGTCGTTCATTTCTGGAGCGTGTGCAAATACCTGTGTGGCTATTGTGCTTGGCATTGTACGTCACCTACTGCTAAAGCAGTATATGCTAAAGAGCTTGCCTTTTCAGATTTAAAGTATGAAGATTGTAAAAAAAAAAAAAAAAAAAAGGGGAAGGGGGGGGAAACTACTCCCTAATCATAAATATTAATTCTTCTCTTTCATGCACATGAAATCAGTGAAATGTATTTGTTCCCTTTGTTTAAATTCAGTTGTGCACTATGGATGTAATTAGGAGACCTCCTAAATACAGCAAAATATCTCTGAGGCTGTCTAAGGAATAAAGCCATTTATTTTTTTGTTCTTCATTTACTCCTGACTGAGAAGAACTATTTCCAGAGAAATTTCAGGCAAATTTGATTTCAATGCAATGCTTGCTAGATTTGAGGGTTTTGATGTGAGATTCGTTAAAGCAGACAGGGAAAGCAATTTCTCTTTAATTTACAGCAGAGCTAATAGTCCTTCTCATAATTCTTATGCAAAACAGGAGGCTCTTTCCTCCTTCCAAGGGAAATATTTAATAGCAGGGGGCTGTAGTGAGATCTTGTATTACTAAGATTTCACTGCATATACAAACAAAGCTACATAATATACAATGAAGCATTACTGCAGAGGAGCTAAACTTTTTGGATACATGCCCAAGCTTTACCCAGTATTGTGCCACTGTACAGAATCCTTGCACCCAAGCTGCAAATGCACAAGAGTAGGTACCACTGATGTGCTTTGCTCCTTTACTTGGGTGGAGGGAGCTGGTAGATGGAAAGAGGCAAAGCCTAGCTGTGCTGTTGTGAACGAGCCAGCTTATGACTGCCATCCTTTGGGATTAAGGATGTTTACTTTTGCTACTGTGAGGTTTTTTTGAATCATTCCTTATTTCAGACTAAAAAGCAAACTACAGTCTTACCTTATAGCAACAAAAGATCTGGTGAAGTACCTGGCTTGTTTATTACATTCGCTTAGCTCACATATGCAGCCTCCAGTCTGTGAACCGATTGTTTTCTTCCATGAAACAAAGGTCAGAAGGCTGAGGTGAGGAAAGAAAAGAAAACATCCCGAGTCTCAGGCCACCCAGCTCCTACACTAACATAGCTGCTGAAAGACGTAACCGGGCAGGCAGGTATGCCCAATGTGTACAGTTTCCAGTGGATTCCTTGCCATCTTTATTATATCCCCATGGTTATTTCCACTGGGGCTTGCTTTGTTGCTGGTTTTTTTTTTTTTTTTCTGCAATTTGCTTTTTATGTCAAACCAAAATAAACACCTAAAACTGTATGGAAAAAAATCTGTTTTTTAGATGTTAAGGAAATGAGTTGTGCCTTTATCTAACAAAAAAGTTTATGAAGGAGAAAATGTTGGAAATTAGAGCCAAATCCCATGGTCTAGACATTAGTATCTTTCTGCTGGATGTATTTGCTCATTTGCTTCTCTAGCCACTTCTGTCTTCCGTGGATTACTGTAGTTCCTTGTCCTAGGTTGTTTTGCCTCAAAACACCGGACCACAACTTTATTTTCGAAACAACATCATCTCAACCAAATATTTCTGTTCTTTTTTGGATAAATATCACATTGTAAGTTTACACTCACAGAATTAGTTTAATGCAACAGGCATGTCATTTTTGTTAGCCTGGAGCAACTCGTGGTAGCATAGGGATCCTGAAGTTCACCAAGAAATTCTTCACTGTCCCCTTTGACTCACTTATACAGTTCATGAGGGTTAGGATCCCAAGTCATAATGTGAAATTTTTGATGGTAAGCATTAGAAATATACTTGGAATGTCAGAAAGTACTCCTTTGAAAGATCACCTTTCACATTGTTCCTTTTAAAACAATGCAGTGAAGCATCAGATGACACAAGATTATAAGGGCTGTCTCTGAGTGTTTGTGCAGTACCTGCTGTAATGGGGCCACAGAGACTTCACCCTTCACTCAGCAACACTGGAGCTCTAGGGACTTTTTATGGTTTCTAATCTCTTAAGTCATTAGTGCATAGCAGAAAATATGGCTGCTACGTATCCCAACAGCATCCCTTTGCAGTAGAGTTTATCAGCAACATATTTTTTCATTGAATTTGATAAATATTGAACTTATGAGTATTCAGTAAACAAAATAGCATATCTTGAGAATAAAAATTCAAGTTTAAATTTTTCATTCATTGAATTCTGTGAGCTATGACCATCTAGACAAATGCTATTTCAAGTGAGCCAGATTTTATTCCCTGCTGCACTAAATAATTGGAATAGTTGCTTACCTCCTTTTTTGTTTGAAAAAATATTGTCATCATGATAGAGATGAGGTACGGTTATAAAGGGATGTTTCCCAACCATCTCCCCTTTGCCATTTGCATAAGAGCATCCTGAATGTGATCCGTAGTCTCTGATGAGGGTTATGAGCCATGTTATTGATGATGAGCTTACCCGCATGATTATTTTGGAATACAGTGGCTAGAAGGAAATGATTGTTTCAAAATGAAAGTGAAGTATTCTTTTTTGAAGAATGGCCTATTGGGACAAGTTAAGACAGTGTTGTAGCAAATTCCCCACCAATAGAAACAGAGAGGAAGAAAGGAGAGAGTTAGAACGGGACAGGACAGGACAAGAAGGGAAGGGAAGATTTGTACCTTGTTCAATCAGGAATCAATCCACAGAACTGCAATCACTCATGTATTTAGACATCTAATTTCTCACTTATAACTTCTTTAGGAACATAAAACTATCTAGAGAGAGAAAGTGAGTGTTTGAATGACACTATAATTGTATTCAGTATGAAGTATTCGCTGCCACAGGGACTGCAATGCTGGTATTTTTGATCCTAGTAAGCTCCCTAACTACTTTGCTACGGGACTGAGATTTTGCATCTGTCATCCAAATAATAGAACAAAGTCTCATTTGGAAGTATTCTGAGACTTGGTGAGTTTGGGTATCTTATGGAAGAAAAAAGTTCTGGCTCTGAGTGTTACCAGTGTTGCGACAGTGAACCTCTGCCTGTCTTCTGTATCAACTCTACCCCTTCCATCTCTATATCTCTATCGCAAAATTTCTTTACCTACCAAAAGTACAACAGTTTTACAAACTACTGCAAACTGTTTGTTCACTGAAACAGTATCTCCACTGTATGCCTGTCAATAGTAAAGCACACTCACTGTAGGTCAGGAAAGCTTACACTATTACTGGATCTAGGAAAAAAAAAAGTGTTCGTTTGCAGTGCAGCTATCTTGGAATAACATTTTATGTTTATAATATATTTCAGGAGGAGTCGTAGGCAAGATGTGAGACATGGAAACCCTCTGACTCAGTGCCGAGGTTTCAACCTGAAAGGTACTGTAATTTAGAAATCCTCATGCTATATAAAGAGCACATGGCTTTCCTTTATATGACTCATCATCACTGACATTATCTATGTGGTTTACTGGTAAAGCGTAATTGTTTTCCAAGTCTGAGTTTTGGTCTGTTTTGTTTTGATTTTAACGTATTTCCTTGCATTTACATGACATGTGCGTACGTATGATAAAATGCTGAACCACCATGTAGCATATAAGAAATGAGAAGCTGACAATGTTGTCTAGAAACAGCTACAGAGAAATCAAGGGCTATTATACTTATAAATCCTTTCAGCCTTTATTAATGCCCCTTAATGCATTTAAGTCGTGGGCCTCAGAATTATTCTGAACACTTGAGGAGAGTTTATGTTTTGGAACATACCGTTCAGCAAATGATTGGTTAAAGATACCCTCCTAGCTCTGCCTTTTGAGTTACGATTCTTCCCTGTCTACCCTTACAGGAAAATAAATTCCTCCAAATCTTTTAACGAAGTCACTTATTTCTGGTTGTACAACTGTTTAGTCAGCCTGGTCACAGCGAGGGTGCGCAGTGGAGCCAATGCCCTGCCCCTCTTGGCCACCGCTTTTCCCATCTACTCCAGGTTGACTGACACCAGTCAAATATGTCTAAAGTCCTAGTTGGAGGAGGCACATGCAGCAAGGCACGTCTGAGCAAGGCTGTGGCATCCTATACCATCAAACCAAGCGCACACATTAGAGAATCAAGCTCATTCACCTCTATTTTTCAGCCTGCATTTCAAAGTGTGTTCTAACTTGTGCCATCTGGAGACTAAATAATAGACCTCATTGTAAATTTTTGATTTTTTTTTTAATTAAATAAAAGAGGAATGCATTAGGAGTTAACTGTGGAAAGATCATTTCGCAGATAATGATAATTCCATCCGGATGGTTTCCTGGGTCCCGCAGGAATCCCCTAGAACAAAATAAGCCACAGCAGTCAGCAGGCCATAGCTCCCTCAGTCAGAATGGGGCTAATCCTGTTCCAGCCGCCAACGGGGAGAGCCAGCCAGCCAGTCTTTCCCCATGAGTCAGATCACTTAGCTGAAGTTGAAGCTTCAGCAGGTGATTACAGAAGATGAGCCCACGATTAGGGTAAGCACCTGAGCTCTGAGACATCCACATTAAAGCTGAGGCTCTGAATCATATAGTAACTTGACCTGAGTTTCCTACCTTGCAGGCATGTGCTGTGACCGCAGCTCATTGTCTGTGCTAAGGGTGGGTGTCTCCTGTTTCAGCCTGGAAAATGTGAGAATGTCAACTGTCTGCTTTCGGGCCGGGGGGAGACCAGTGTGTCAACCTGGCCAGTTTCTGTGAGACAGAATTCTTGTTTTCCAACTATTTTTCTCTTAAGATGGATTTATTTATAGGTTGATGTTTTAGCAACTTTTAAGGATGTTTTGGTGAGGTCAGGACAGCAGTGGGATATAGCGTAGGTAGGTGGCAGGGTTTTTGTTGCTTTTTTTTCCCCATAGTGGAATAAAAGATAAAAAGAAACAGCAACTTAGACTCATTCAAAATATAATTCAAGCCATTTATAGCAAGACTATTATGCCAGGAGAAAAATGAAATCTATCCAAGAGACAAAAAAGCTGAAAGTCAGGTGTAGCAAGAAATCACCCAACTTCAGAAGGAACCATAATTTTGAAACTAAGGCTTTAAGCATGATATGTTGCATGCCTTAGATCTCTTAACTCCTATAAACTGAGCATTTTTAGGGTATTTCTGTTTTTAAATAGATCATCAAGAACTAAGGGGTTTGTATGACTGCTTTTCAAATGTTCGCTGAAGTCCTTAATACTGCTTAATGCTTTTGTTAGTTCTTAGGGCCCTTAGGAAAATGCATCTGTGCTCTCTCACTCTTTCTCTTAGCGTGTGTAGAGTAGTAATAGTATGGACTAGGCAAGAAGGATAGATATCTACAGATCAATTAAATAGTTAAAAATACTTTTCTGTGATACACTAGTCCCAGTGTATATAAAAATGTATTATGGTGCAAGTATGTTTCACACAGCTACATTTGCCAGTCCAGCAATAAGCTTTTTGCTAATTTACGTTCTTTGAATGCAAGATCTTCCCACACTATTCTTTTAAAACTTACAGTTGACTTTGGTACAGCTTCATAAATGTGTTAAGGACCTTATAGGACCAAAGCCAAACAAAAACTCCTTCTTTTAGTGGCATAGATTCCAATTTCACATATCTGTTGATGAAAAAGAATGAGAGACAAGGTACAGTATGAGGAAAATCAGTCTTATAACTGTATAAAAACACAATCTGATTTTAGACATCTTAGATTTCTAGGTGATTCCATTTCTCATGTTATTTTATATCCATTGCTCTGTAATCAAGAAATAGAATTTGTATTTCATATATGATGTAAACTTTTAAATCTGGAAGTGTGTTGTTTTCAAGACAAATATTACTATTTGGGCAAAGCAATGAACATCTAATAGTTCCTATGAGTAACTGCCAATTTCTCATCTATTGAGGCTATAAAGGGGCACAATAAATCTAAGCGATGACGTATACTCAGCATTCGCCTTTGTGTTGCGGGAGTGCGATAAATCTGTCCTGGTCTCCGTTGCTAGCCTGTCTACATATTCAATGCATTTCAGATTTAGAGCAAAGTCCTTTTCTTGCTTTATAAGTAACAGAAGTGGATAAATGGGAGTAGAGTCTGCCCTCTCTTGCCTCCTCATGATACTGCAAGACAACTGGGGTAGACGGAGCCTTCTCTAGGGCATGCTGTATTCCAAGTCACACCAGCTGTATTGCCCCAGCTCGTAAACTGTAAAGGATGGAAAAATACCTCAGTCTGCTCTGGACAGTTCCAGATAGGTTAGCCTGTCTTATGCGAGAATGAGAACATTTCAGAGAGGAATATCCCTGAACTCTGTTACTCTATCAGCAGAGCTTTCCAGGCAGGACGCAAGTCCGTAAAGTGCCGAGAAATACGTTTGTCTACCAGCCTACAGGTGTCCTTCTTTCCTAGAACAGACCATGCCTGACTGAAAACACTGGTACTTGGAATTAGCCATGCTTCTTCACATTTCATTCCTCTTCCTTGAAAATTCTGTGCCCTAAATTACTAGTTGTTGACCAGCATCAGGATCATACATATTTCAGTTGACCTGAAAATTATATATTTGCTAATAGTGCAAATACATAGTTACTTGCTTTCTATATCAAATTATCATTTACGGTAGCCTGACCTGTCTTTTTCTTTCCAGCATACAGAAACGCTGCAGAAATAGTCCAGTATGGAGTAAAAAACAACACCACCTTTCTTGAATGTACACCCAAATCTCCCCAGGCTTCTATTAAGTGGTTACTACAGAAAGACAACGACAGAAGGAAAGAGGTGAGCAATCAGAACAGTAGGAAGGGACCTTAAGCGATCATCTAATCCATTCCTCTGACCAAGGCGAGATAGCTTTTGTGTCTTCATCAGACCATCTGGTTACAGGGAAGCAGGTTGGAGGATTTGCATGGACACAGGACAGTGACCAGCACTTTCCTTGCATACATAACGGTAGAGCCTTCAGAATGGCTAGAAGGCATCTGATTCCTCAGTTCCACTGATTTCTGAACACCTATTAGAAAATTCCAGCCGGCCCCTAAACTCAGGGAACTAATTAATGAATCTTTCCTTCACATCTTACTAATGTCAAAATAAAAGCTTGCAGCACTTAGGGCATCTTATTGAACCAAGACAGTAGGCATAAAAGCGATAAGCTGTATAAAGTTCAGGAAGAAGTCTGCATCCAGTAGGCCCTCAGAGCAATTGAAGAGATAAAAGGCAAAAGTGGGAGAAATGTGAAAGGTTTCCTTAGTAAGAAACTAGTTCAAGCTGAGAACACGTATTGACAAAAGCATTTCCCCACTATGGTGCAATCACATTTTCCATTACTGCACTCTCTAAGGCTCTCGAGTTTCAGCACTGTAATATACAATATGATTGTTTATGGGGAATGTGCCTTCCTTAAGTAATATGAAAGCGGAAAAAATCCTTTTCAAATCCAAGACAGTTACTATATGAATAAAAAGGAACTTTCTTTGTAAAGAAAAATTAATATGGTGTCTGTTGATAGATTATAAATACTGAAAAGCAGTACTCTCATATCAGGCTATCTTCCAACATCAGAGAGTACTTGCAAGCCTTCCACTGAGTCTTTTATTGCTGCTTCTCTCATGAACTCTGGTAAGACTCAAGCCCTGTGCTGACTATGTAGATGAAATTCTTTAACTCCTTGCTTCAGCCAAACACTTTGCTTTTTACTTTTTTTAGTGTTAAATAATTATTTTAGAATCAATCAAGTTTTAAGTAGCAACAAACAAAATAAAACAATCAAAGGGTTTATTATATTTCAAGCTAAGCTGAATATCTCCGAATTCTGAAAATCACCCTCAAGATCTGGCTAAAAATTTTCACAAGAATAGAATGTAATGGAAAGACATAATGGATTAAATTAGCCCTTTTTACTTCACAACTGATATGCAAAGGGACATATGTATGGTCGTTTATAATCAGAGGATAACTTAATAAGCTCTGGTATCTTGCTTCCTTTGGATGATGTGACCATCTCCTGGGACTGTCCATAGTCTGAAGCAGGACAAGAAATATGATTGTAGAGAGTTGCTGTAAGTTTCTAATGGACCAATCCCAAGTGATGCTATTTCTATGACCACTTTTATACCAAGCTGTAGGTTCCACAATATAGATCTTTGGAAATTAGCCCCATGAACCAGTTCACACTCGCAACATTTACACAGTCACAAAATCACTGAATAGTTGGAGTTGGAAGGGATCTCTGGAGATAATCTACTCCAAAACCCCTCCTCAAGCACAGTCAGCTGGAGCAGGTTACCCAAGACCATGTCAAGTTTGGTTTTGAATATCTCCAAGGAAGAAGACTCCAATGCTTCTCTGGGAAACTTGTTCCAGTGCTCAAACACCCTCAAAGTGAAGAAGTGCTTTCTTGTGTTTAAGCAGAATTTCCTATGTTTCAGTTGTGCTTTTTGCCCCTCGTCCTGTCTCTGGATACCACTAAGAAGAGTCTGGCCCCGTCCTCTTTACACCTTCCCATCAGATACCCATAAACATGATCCCCCCGAGCTTTCTCTTCTCCAGGCTAAGCAGTCTCAGTTCTCTCAGCCTCTCCTCATATGAGAGGCGCTGCAGTCCCTTAATCATCCTTGGGGCCCTTTGCTGGATTTGCTCCAGTAAGTCCATGTCTTTCTTGCACTTGGGAGCCCAGAAGTGGACACAGTTACCCCAAATGTGGCCTCACCAAGGCTGAGTAGAGGGGAAGGATCACCTCCCTACACCTGCTGGCAAAGCTCTTCCTAATGCAACCCAGGATACTATTGAGCTCCTTTGCCATGAGGGCACATTGTTGTTTCGTGGTCAACTTGTTGTCCATCAGGACCCCTAGGTCCTTCTCTGCAAAGCTGATTAGACCCTAGCCTATACCGGTGCCTGGAGTTATTCCTCCCTAGGCACAGGACTTTGCGTTTCCCTTTGTTGAGCTTGATGAGGTTCCTCTCCGCCCATTTCTCCAGCTCCCAGCTCGTTGAGGTCCCTCTGAATGGCAGCACAGCCACCCAGTGCATCAATGACTCCTCCTAGTTTTGCATCATCTGCAGCCTTGCTGAGGGTACACTTGACCTCATTGTGCAGGTCATTAATGAAGATGTTATCCATATTGGCCGCAGCATCCACCGTTGGGGGACACCACTAGTGACTGGCCTATGACTGGACTTTGCGCTGCCGCTTTGAGCACAGCAGTTCAGCCAGTTTTCAGTCCACCTCGTTGCCCATTTATCTAGCCTGTACTTCATTAGCCTGTCTATGAGCTTCTTTGTTTAGATAGATCCACCCTCGGCCTTAGTCTGTGCCTTTCTTCCACCAAGTCACAGCAGCAACTTCTCATGTTGCAAGGGAAGTTCTCAGGGTTGTAACCCTAGCAAATAAAAGTTAATTTTCTCAGCTCCGCTATTTGAACATGATGAAAACTTTTCTTTCATCTAGTCTCCAGGTTTGCATCTTTGTCTTCATCCCCGTTAAATCTACTATAACATGATGAACAAAAATACTAGAAAAAATTTCCTTCCAGACGCTTATTTATATTGAGGTAAGCTTCCTCCTAACATTAGCAGTAACAGTGATCGTTGGTAGACACATGCTAAAGCAAAACAGAATACTTTTAAGAAACCTTCAAAAAGGAGGCATTTGAAAAGAGGAGATCCAATACTGCATTGTTGCAAACGTTATCTAAACAGTTTTTAATGCCTTTTTGCCCTATAGGTCAAGCTTAATGAAAGGATCATAGCTACTGAGCAAGGACTCCTGATTCGCTCTGTCCAAGACACTGATCGAGGACTTTACCACTGCATTGCAACAGAGAACAGCTTCAAGCAAACCTTAGCAAAGATCAATTTCAAAGTGCTGAATTCAGAGATGGTGGCTTTCATGACTGACAAGTGGTCTCCTTGGACCTGGGCCAGCTCGGTACGAGCACTGCAGTTCCACCCAAAGGACTTTGTGGGATCTTTCAGCCATTCAGAAATGCAGATGATTAATCAGTACTGCAAAGACAGTAGACAGCAAGGTCAGCAAAGGGAAGAATCCCAGAAGATGAGAGGGGACTACAGCAAATTAAAGGCCCTTATTAATAGCAGAAAAAGTAGAAATAGAAGGAATCAGTTACCTGGATCTTAATTTTATTTTGTAACAATAGATGTCTTTGTCCTCACTGTAGGGGGCTTATATTTGTCTGTTGAGAACAAATTTGGGCAAACTTGATAAAAAATTCAATGTAAATCCAACAAGCCTCAGAAAAGATCCTCCTCCCAATAAAATGCAGTGTAACTTAATAAAATAAAAAAAAATTGGAGCATTTTATTTCCTAGATGCTTACTGGCACTAGGCTGAGCCCTGTCCTAGAAGCAAAACTGAGTATTTATCTTAAACCAGATTCACATTTGACATCTCAGTATTTAATTATAGTTGAGTAGAAATATTTAAAAAATCAAGTCATTGTTTTGTGACTCTGGAACTGTACCAAGCAAACTGGTGGTGAAAGAATCTGGGTTAAGATGCATGCTCCAAGCAGGATGGTACTAAGATTTCCTTGCACTGTGTTTAAGAACATGAGTTTCTACTTGTTTACGGTTCAGTACTGGGTTTACAACTTCCATTCATTGTTCAAATCATGTGAATGCATGCAGACAGAAAGTGAGTATAGTATAGTAGAAATGTTTCATTCAGAGGTCAAATGAAGGAACAAGTAGGAGAAAAAGAGAAAAGAATAATTGTTTTTATACTTTATCAGAGGAAACACTGATTATTGTGCATAGTATGGGTTGTAATCCTAGTTTTGCTTCTGGAACAGCACTTTTAATAAGTTCTGGAATGTAACTTAAAATATATCTGCTCATATTGATTTCTATTAATATAGGATGTCCTGTAACACTACATAGCTTTATAAGTGGCACAAAGCTAACATGAGAATGTTCATGGTAGGTACAATTTTTAAAATACTTAGGTATTTTAGCTATTTTTCGAAGAGTTACACTCCAAGTTTTTCAAATGACAGAATGTGGGTGTACTGCACAGTTTACTCAAAAGCTAAACTCACAGATTATCTTTAATGTGTTCCATGATTAAATTGGAGCTGGTCTGCAATGTGGAAACAAGTCTTGAGCTTCTTTTTTGATGCTGAATCTGAAATCCGAGTGTGAAAATTTTTGAAAAAACAATATTTTGTCAAATGTTTTCACAAATTTGCTTTAAACATTCAAAATATGTTAATTTTTTAAAATTAAATTATTTCCATTTTTCAGTCTTTTTATCCTTTTCCTTTTTGGTATTCTTTTCATAATTTACCCCTCTTTGTCAGCTTTCTGCTAAGAGGAGCAAGAAAAGAAAAAAAAAAGAAAGAAAGAAGGGAAAATAAAACTGAAAAAATTATTTGATCAAAAGTCAAAAACATAACATTTTGAGAGGCCTATCTAAACAAAAATGCTTTTGTGTATGAAGCTGCTATCAGCTCTAATGAAGTATGTTTAGTTGAAAACGGGGTAAGTGTACATCTATCAAACCATCCTGGGAAAGCTATCACCTTTTTTGATCAGCACTAATGCCAAAAAGTAGTGACAAATCTTACTCACTTCACTATGTGAGAGGGTTCTGGAATCCAGTGGGTCGGGTCACAGGAGATGGATAACAGGGATTAAATATGTATGACCTTGGAAAGATGATGTTTTATTCCATGATATTTTATGTTGCTATACAAGAATAACAACTAATTAATTATATTCAGCTGAAGGAAATGTAAATTTATAAGCAAATGAGGGAAAATAACTTCTGAACCCAGAGAAGATAAGAAAAAATATTTTTTAAAAGTTGTTCCGATAACAGATGATGCTGTATTTAGAGGTATAGTTTAAAACATTTTTATGAATGTTTGTTGAAACTCTTTGGGCATTATTTAGATTCTGCTTCTATTAGACTACACAGGGAATAACTCTACAGGACTTAGGAGAACATCTCTGGATTTATGCCAGTGTAAATTAAGATCTAGTGCAATGGAGTTAACTCTGGTATTTAATTGATAGCAGAGTTGGATATGTCACTTTATCACCATCTGATGCAGAATAGCTGGGAAAAGGGCCCTGACTGATCAAGCCACTTAAACATTGTCTCTAAGTCCCTTTAACTCTGGTGGGAGCTCTGGGACTTGACTGCATGTGCTTACTACTTGCTTCAAAGGGGATAGCAATGCTTACACGCTTACATAGTACCATGTAGTTAAGTGCTCTTTTTAAGGTCTACATGCGTATTTATGCAATGTGCAGCCACTAGTATCTAAGGTCCCTTCCTTATGGAAACCATAAAGAAACTTTGACTTCAGTGAGCCTGGATCTGACTCCAAAAGCTGGCAAAGCAGATTCTGGGGAAAAAAAAAAAAAAAAGAAGACGACAACGAGATGGGTAAATGAAAGTGAGGGTTTTTTCCCCAGCTGACTTTCAGTGCAGTAAACTACTTTTGTTTTTTCTTTTTTTTTTTTTTTTGGAGGATGAGTGACTTCTGAAATGCTTAAGTTACAAACCAAAAATTCGAGTGCCACAAAATGAAACTACCTCCTAGAATGACATTAGTGCATATACTCTGTATGCTGCCATGCTCTTCCTCATTTCCCCAGCAGATTCACTGCAGAGTTAGTGTGATATTAATGTCTATTGTGAGGATCATAATTCTTTCCACGTGAAATACAGTGATTAATAAGTATGTAAGGGTACAATTTACTCTTTAAGTGGTTAGGTACAGTGATATTTTAATAGGCCCCCATTAGGCCTCAGAAATTACAGTTACACTGTTTTCTAAGAGAATATTGGCAATAGGGGATTCCGTTAAAACGATCAGCATAGCTCAGAGTTTCATATGATTATAAAATAATATTTTTAAAGCTGCTTCGTATACCATTATTATGGTATGACTGTTTAAGGGATTACACTTAAACTAATATTTTTCCTGCTGCATGAAAATTCCAG